ATAACAAAGGATGTGTTTATTCACTTGGGGTCAACATCATGTGCAACTTCAATCCATGAATGTCCGTATACAATAGCAAGCCCCTCCATTTGGAGGATCCGCTTTCCAGATTGAGAAACACCCACATGCTGCGCAATGCAGCCGGCCGTCCCTCGCAAAAAACTCATCCTGCATGAATTTCCTGGTGATTTATTCGAAACAGCCTACAAATATATGCAGGCAACAAGAGACAGGGTAGACCCTCAAACCTGGAAAGACCTAGGTTTCGCAAACTTGGAAACACCCCGGTGTCCGCCGGTCAGGTGGAGAATGCCATTTTAGCCTTCCAAAGTCCGGAGTGGCCATGTCACGCAGATAGCAAGACTTTGCAACTCGGCAGTGTTGGCTTCGCAGATAAGTTCCTGGGACGGTGCAACCTACTCTCTTGGAAAACTAGCTCTGGACCCGCTTAGAGAGCCGCACAGAAAGGCTCTCCTTTGCAGCTGCTTTGTTTGGGACCCTTCGTGTGGTTTTCAGACGTGACAAATGTTCTATGCGGCATGTTGCAATGCGGATCAGCATTTGAAGGCATGCTCTCCTGCGCATATGCGAGATTGTAAAAGCAGCTCGGTTGATTCCTGCGTTGCCCAAGCTGCCCTTTGGTCTTTTCCTTTTTTGGGATTGGGGCTTTGTAAAATCGGACACGCCTTTTGGATGGTTGCCAAAGGGGAGCAACAGGGATCTCCCCCCCATTAAACCTGTTGCTTCAATGCTCGGGCGCACGAGTTTCTGAATTTGCGACCTTCTGAAGCGGCGGTGGTTGGCGACGGGATGTCAACAACAATCACTGGAGCTTCCCTCCGGCATCTTCAAGCCAAACTGCCGTCGAAGGGTCGGCCCCAAGTGCGCCACGAGTTAGGGACTGAACCGCCAACCAACTTGGGGTTGCAGAGGAAAGGCTGAAACTCATTTGGAGGGTCAGAATCCGTTCCCAAGTAGTTTTGGAGTGACTGCGACACAATTGGTTGAGATTTTGATTAGTTCTGCTAAGTCTTGAGATGTCCGGCGTTTTTGTCTCTTCAGGGTTGATGCATTGCAAGGGTTGCACGGTTTGTTTCCTGGCATGTTGCCTGGATTTGGGCAAACTTGTCCTGACCAGGGTCTCATCATCCCATTCTTTGGGCGTTTGTGAGGCTGGCAAATCATGTGTCGCTTCGCTTTATCAATTGCACATGCGATGTGAGGAGACGCCTCCAACCCTGCCAACGGCTTGCCTGCGTGGCTTAATGTTCAATCGTTCTCTTGTTCACTCCGGAGTGTTTTTTCGCCAGAGTAGGATTCCTCTCAAAGATGTTCCAAACTTGTTCCAAAAGGGGCAGGACAGCCCTGCTATGGGGTGAAGGCTGGCCACCAAAAGGGCACCCTCTTTTTATCCATCTGGCCTTTACTATCCTGAGTTTCCACCTCCGGGGCTCGCATAAGGATGATGGACTGCATGAGGAACCTGACTCGGCGAGGAGGTGCGCTGCGAGTTGAAGCTACACCCCAACTCGCCCTTCCCAAGAAAGGGGGGTCTTCGTTTCTCTTGGGCAAGTAATGGCCAGCCCCGGATTAATAAACCCCTGGTTGGTTAACAGGGGGTGTCCCCTTTTAGTGGGGATTCATGACTTTGGGAGGGAACACCCCCCTAACAATGGCACGGGTTGATTAATCCTGGGTCAATATTAGGCGCTCGAGTTTCCACTTTAAGGTTTGCACTGCCCGGTATGCCGACCGAAAAGCCTTCAACCACAAGACAAGGTGGGGAGCAGGTAAAGAGCTGAGGGCAAATGAGTTGCATGGGGGGATGTGCTAAGAGCATTGGTCTACTAGAACACCCTGTGTAGATTGGGGGATGGCCCAACCAAACCCGCGGGGCATTTTCAATTTGTCTTTTCTTGGTTTCTATGTTAAGGTTGTTAAGGGTTCACAGACCTGACCTTGTGTTGCCCACACTTGGGCTCTCAGCCAAGGTTCCCCCCACCCCGCTGCCCACGTTTGATACAGTCGAGGCCTTGGGCCTACGGGGTAGGTACTTTCCGGAGTCCAAAAAACGAAGCAGAGCCACGCAGATCGAGACATGCTTTCGGAGCGGGTGGTGTGAACTACGGATTCATGAGTAGTATCAGAGGAACAAGCCTAACACATACATCAATATTCGACATTAAAAGGAACCGCCGATGAATCCACGTGGGTGGAGAATGTGAAGGGACTTGTCAGGGTTTTGGGAACCGTCAAACATTTCCCCGCCACTGTTGCAAACGTGGGGCCATTTCACACAAGCACACTTGAGTATGATTGAATGTGGGCTGTTGTAGTGTAATTGGCTTGGTCTTCTTTTCAGGCGCGAAGCTGGAAAAGAAGCCCAGTTGTCCATTGGTGGCAGCGGGACATTGGCCTCGCTTTGGGTAGCTCATGGCTCAAGTGCTTCCAAGCCTAGGTGCGCATACCAAGCCACAAGAGATACTCAAGCTTTCATATGTGACGTGCTTAATCCAGTGGTCCTTCTTCAAGGAAAGCATGGTCAGCCGTATAGATGCATTTTGGGCAGCCAGTTGTTACTCCAGCACTTTCATTCGGTTTCTGCGGCAGTCGTGCGCAAGAGGCAAAAGGAGAGCAACAAGAGGACAGCCAACCGCATTTTAGAGGTTTTACCTTGTTTGCTTTCAGCCCTTGGACGGCAGCACTAGCCATGCCCCCTCAGCCGAGACCCGAGCCTGACTCCTAAATTTGACCGGTCTTTGCGGCTCAGTTGTGGTCCAAGCGGGCCTATGTATTGCACTCCATGTGTATGGTTCCGTTTTAAAGGGAAATTCTGTTGAGGATTGTTTTTGTTTTCTCCCCACCCGACATTTTTTGGGGTTGTTTGATAGGTTTTCAGTGATGTCCCACCGCCACAACCCGAGCCCACCCGCTCGCTGACAGAGCCTGTGACAGACAGCTGCGACAGAGCCTGACAGAATATTTCTGAATCAGGTCTGGCAGGCTTGGGTGTTCAGGCAAACATTTCTGACAGCAGTGCCAGGTTGAGCTTTTACAGGTAGAGGAGGAGTTTCACTCCGGCAGCTCTTGCTGAGCTCGCGTGCAGCAGCCGCTAGCGAGCGGGGCCACCACTCAGGCGCGCGACGAAGACGTGACGGGATATTAAGAGAGACATGACGACGGGAGATTTGGCAACGATAAACACGGCGAGAGACACGCCGTGAGATGTGACTTGAGCAAACATGACCAGATGTGTGACGAGCGTCACGACGTAAGACGTGATGAGGGAGGACGGACGGTGACAGGACACGTGCTGAGTTATATGACGAGGGAACATGGGAGAGTGAAGCGCTGTGAGCAAGTTTCGTGGCCGGCGCAGCACTTGGTGCGTTCGCACATTGAATTCGTGGTAGGCGCCACGAGCCAAAACCAACTGGTGATGCTGCGGATGTTGAAAACTTTCCCACAACAGTTGGGCCCTTCCCCTGGCACAGGGGGGTGCTGTTTGTTGTCCTTTCAGCCCTTCCCCTGAAAGGGAAGGGTCGAGATTTAATTCAATTCAAGTTTGTGTCTCTGTGTTTTTCTCTGTTTTTTTTGGATGTTTATTTGCACCAGCGCTGTCAGCTGTCAAATGGTCCTTCCTTCGTGTCATGGTGCTCCACTATGGGTTCCCGCCTTGAACGATGTTTTCTGCACTGGCCCTACTTGACGAACACCCAGGTTGACAACTGGTGTGATTTCCGTTTCTTTTCCGATTTTTGTTTTGCAGTTCACTTTCTGGAAGAAATTCTGGTCGGTCAGCCACTAACCAGCAACGGCATGTGATTCCCGTGTGGCGGGAGGACAGGCAAAGCGATCGCGCACCTCGTCGAACATTTCTGGCTCACAGTCATTCGCGCCCCCGATTCCGAGCATATATAGGCACGGAAAAAACACGATTCCTGCGTTGTAGGCGTTGCGGAAAGGCGAGTTTTGGTGGCAAAAACAACGTTTGGACTTTCGCAATGCTTGTTTTCTACCAAGCCACTCAGGAAGTGAGGATCAGCCAAGCACCTGGCAAATTGTGTTGCTTAATGTTTCCTTTTAACGGTGTACAAAAATCATGAGGCCGCATGATGGGTTGGCTTCCTGTTGCGAACCATTTCAACTGCCCGGTAGCTCACGTTCAACCACTCCGGAAGCTAGCTACCTTCAGCAAATGTCAACACAACCCTCCAACCTCCAACATCCTCCAAACTCCAACATCCTCCAATTCAGTCCAACAACTTGCAAGAGATCCAGCTAAACATGCAGCCTCACAGGACAAGGACCGGTCATTAAGTTGGCAATGGTTTGGTGCAGAGGGGACAGGGGCCCCCTCCATGAAGGGAACCGCAACCACACCTCAAGGAGTTTTTTGACCATGGCACACAGGTCCACAAAGCCAGCAGTGGTTCCAAATCTCAACTTGAAGCACGCAGGGTGTTAACGCATTCAGTAGTTTGAAAACGCGAGCGGGTGTCCTTGGATACGGCGTTCTGCAGCGTACATATATAGCATCTACCGAGGACTCGGAAACAAAACCAAGCAGAAGAGGACAGGACCAGCGCCATTCTACACAAGAAACACCCGGAACAAAACGAATGAAGCAAGTTTGCCTGCTTCATCTTCGAGGGTTCACGCCCCTACCCCTCCGAGGGTTGCATACCTGTTTCTCAGTTGTTTCTCCATTAGGGGCCAGGCCCGTCAAGTTCGACAAGCGCGTGCTTGGCCCCCAAGCTCTGAGACTGTAAACTGCCAGAAAAACGTTTCTCGCACATTTCCCAGTGTCTACCCTTAGACAACAAATACGCCTAAAGAGTTTCAACAATCCAGCAAGGTTCATGCCTTTCATTTTGTGCAAGATTCAGGATGTCCCTCCCGTTTCACCTAGATTGAGGGGACATCTCCCACTTTGAAGCAAATCCCAGGGGCGCAAACGGGCCTAACCCTGGGCGAGGGTGGGGAGTTGGATCCAGGCCATGTGCGTGCCGACGCGTGCATTGCAGCACCCCTGCCCTCGGAAGTTGCACCACCCCAACGAGCGCTGCGGCTGTGCGGCCCGCCTCTCGCTGCTGGCGCGGAGTTGTTTTCGAGCGCCGGAGGGAGAGAACCTCGCGTTTCCACAGGGTGGGCAAATGTTGCATAGGTGGGAAGCAGAAAGTGGAGCAAGCAGCGGAGTTTTGTTTGAAGTGGAGTGTTCCCAAGACAGGGGCTGTTTGCCTCTAAAGCTGAGCACGCCCTATTAATATCTATTAATCAACTGGAGGTGTCTTCATCCTGGATTCCTGCCCAGTCATACCACAGAAGTGGGACAGGCAGCCCTGACTCTGACGCTGCAACCCACCCGAACGCAGGAAAAAGGCCATTTGTATTTCGAGCTGCTCTCTTGGTAGTCCCCTTGTGCCATTTGGTGGCCTTCAGGAATTAACCAGAAACAGTGCAGTCTCCCCACCCAGGCAAACAGGCAAACACGCTGGAAGTTGGTGCCTCAGGGCTGGCGCAAAAGTGGTTTCCAAATTCTCGGCAGATTCAGAGGGCAACCTGGCGATGCTGAAGCTTTCCTAGTTGGTTTTTTACCTTGGCGCTTCGCCAAATCGTGGATTGAGCGCCCTTTGCCTGGTGCTCTGCTTTTCCTGCCCCATGGATATGCCATCCCCACAATTGCTCCCAATGGAATCTGCATAGGCAGGGTTGCTCCTGGAAACTGGACCAAACCACAAAGGTAGACAGCTGCTTGTTTCCTTTTGTCTTTCCTTTTTTGGGAGCACAACGGATCGATCATTCTTGATGGCAAGTGGGTTGCCGACTCTGGTCTCAGATTCACGCGGTCCGCCAATGTCGTGGAAAATGGGATTCAGTGCCAATTTCTGTGATAAGGGAACTCTTTAACGTGATAAGCCGCTTCGTCACAGGATTCAACCACTTTGGTTTCACAAAAGAAGTGGTCTGTTGCTGGTGAAACCGTAATTCTAGACTTGTCCCCAGGAAAACAACCCCTTTGACTAGGGGGCCTGTATTCGATTCCGGGCCACCGGGCATTCCTCAACAGGTGCCTCATGGCCACTCCCGCTTAGCCGACTCTGGCTCCCTGCACGCTGCGCGACTTCAGAACCTGCGCTGGCCGGGGAGCCAAAACTCGGGGCGGGGGTGCGGCCTAGAGATGGCATCGTGCGGGTGCCTACATGGCCTAATATGGCCTATACTTTTGGGCATCCCAGACGGAAGCCCAAGGGGGCTGTGGTTTTTTGCAGATCCATATTGGTGACTAGCGCCATTGGGGTACTGTTAGGGGCACCTCCCAAACAGCTGGCTTCAGCTGAAAGTTGCATTTCCAAAGAAGTCGCACCCATGGGGAGAGGCAAAAGCGAGGCGTGAGAACAACAGTCACTAGCCCTGTGAGCTGGAGCAACGGAAGTTGTCCTATTAATTCTCTTGGAGAGATACACAAATTGCTGCTTTGTTTAGGGATGCAGCCCACAATCCCCAAAAGCAACTGGGGAATACTTAAAAACAGAGTTGCCAGAGAATCTCTTTATATGGCTAGCCGAGTGGATTCTTCAAGTTGCCTACCTCACCTCGTGAGTAAATGGAATCAGTAGAGTTAGTCAGGTTTGAGCAACTGATGCAGACCTCATGATGAAGAATCCTTTCATGAGGGGCTCTTGCCTTGGTGGGAACTGAACCTGCTGAGCAGCAGGTGCTTTGTTGCACCGTTTGCAAGGGGCCTAAGGGGGTCACGGTGACAAATCAGCCAAGGTAGCAGCCTGCTGTGGCCGTGTTGACAGAGCGTGCGCACCCTTTCTGCTTGGCTGGTCTCAAGGGGAGGTCCTTCCAAGGAAAAGGGCGCAGGGGGGAATCTATAGCTGTGTATTGTAGGCGTCAAGGCTATAATCACGCAGCCTGTTGCCCGCCTCAAGCACACCGTGTGCAGATGCCTGTGGAACCTGACAAGCTTACACGGACGTCAGAAGTGTTCTTCCCGCTTCCTTCAGCATCCCTTGTTTAAAGTCAAGGTTGACCCCATCCGTAGAAACATGGTGGGGCTGTGTTGGTCAACAAGGATTTGTTGATGTTGTTTCCAGACCGCAAAAGGTTTGTGAATTGTGGTTCGCATATAATTGTGTCAATGTCCTTTTTGCAACGGTGCTATTGCGTTTGACCAGCCCAGTTTTTTCGGTGTTGTCCAGTCAATATCAATCAGCAAACTACAATAAAGCCCTGCCATGCCCCGTTGGAATGATCAAACATTGCGCAGACCTTCGGACCATTTGTCGTCAGGAAATTGGGCTTGATCAAATGATCGCGACCTCAAAGGGGAAGGGGTGCGATGATTTTACATGTTACCTACATTGATACCCTCCTGTATTTTAGGATCAAACCCCACAAACCCGGTTTGGCTGAGGCAAATCTCGGGTTTCTTCATGCTTCATGGCTTGGGTTCCTTCATTCAGCACATGGTTAGCAGGGCGCAGAAGTCCGGCGTTTTGATGGTCCTCCATTCGTAAGCTCATTGGTTTGTCCTTCGAGGCGCTTGACATCCGCGGCTCTTCTTGGGCGCTTCCAATGCTCAGAGGGCTTGAGGCGCAGACGGAACCCGAGCCCGTTGAAAGCTATGGGGTCCACTTTCGTATCACAGAGATGGTTTTGTTCCACATGTTGGTGAAATGAGAAGGGCACCCAGAGGGAAGGTAATACGCTTTGGATCCATGGCCATGATGTGCTTGTTCCGTTTCACTATGGGAATGGCCCTCATCATGGCCCACCGAGTCACATACTGTACAAGGGTCCATGTATTAACAAATGAGAAGGGCCCCACCACCCACTGTTCATTGCAAAGTGGGTTATGCTATTGCTCACCCATTGGCTTGAAAATTCGTGTGGGTTGCTGGTTGTTTGCGGTTGGGGAGCACACTGAGCTTAAAGCACTGGATCCCACAAGTCGACGTGAGGTCCAGCAGCATCTCACCCCAACCCGCAAAGCTCATAGCAATTCGGCGGCTGAGAATCATGAAGCTGACGAAATCACACCTTCTATTTGTTGTCTCGTTTTTGCTTGGAGAGGGAGACGGAGACGTTTGCATGCGTGGCTAGTTAACAGGGAAAGCCACCCGTGGAGTAAAAGCCCTTTCCAAGTGCGACTGCTTATTGCATCTTATTTCAGTGGAAAAGGCCAACCATGTTTATGTCCCAATTCTTCGGACATTCGGCACCCTGGCTGTTGCAAAGCGAATTGAGGGGTTTCGCCCCAACTCCATGGCAAGCAAGCGTCCCCGCTGGGACTGCGGCATCTACACCCAGTTCAGTGTCCCTTCTGTTTTCGGTAGGCTTCCCACTGCAATTCACTGAGCGAAGCGAAAAAGAAACGGTTTTCATTTGTTTCTCCCCAAACGGGTCACTGGCTGTCGGATCGAAATTCCGGAGGCATCAACGACTCAGCAACGGACACCTTTAAGCTGATTGGTGACTGTATGGACATCAGAGGGATTCCAGCTATGGGCAATCAGTGTGTTGTTTGCAGGCGTGGTGATTTATACACCTTTTCTACGGGCATACTGGGATACTGTCGTGTTTCCCTTTAGTGCTACATATGGGTCTGTCTATTTTCGGGCAACCTTTGTTGGTTAGACCAAAAGGAACAACTTATTACTCTTATTTGGCTTTTCATTTTTTGGGCGGGGTCCAAAAAAAGGACAGACCCATATCGTAGAGCAGAATAAACATACCCACATCCAAAATGCTCTGGAGAGGCAGCCCCTTAGCTCCAGGAAGCTGCCTGATTCCTTGCGGGCCTTGGCCGACGACCACAAGGGAGCGGCGGCCGCAGGGCTCGAAGTGGCTTTGAATCCCAAGGTGCGGTTGCTCCACCCTGTACCAACTAGGTCCCCCAGTAGTTCCCTTTTACCCTTTTTGGGGGGAGGGTTCCCCTACTAAAATAGACTAGAGGAAAAAGGGTACCCTTATTCTAACCTCTCTACTGGGGGACCTAGACAAGGTCAGAACCTTCGATTTGTTATTTGCTGCTTGGTGGGGCCTAAAACGTCTCAACTGGTCAAATGCGTGGATACACAACAGTATCCTCCTCTCCTGGCAAGGGGTGAGCAACCCAAATAATTTGTATTCCCGAGCCACACACCGCTACGCAGCGAAAATCGGGTGTATGCCCTTGAGAAGTGGGTGTTATCCCATAGTGGTTGGGGGGCTGGCGGATACCTTCATATAGATGTTAGAACCAAAAAAATGCGAGGCAACCCCCCCTCGGAAAGTAGAGTATGGAGACAGGGCGTACCGGGCCGCAAAAAAGGCTTTCTCCATACATTCCTCGTTGCATGGTTTTGTGGGGACTGCTCCCGGAGCATGAGTTTGACCCTTCGTCAGGACTCACCAACTCACCAGAGCGATACTTCCTTTGCATGCCTCACCTTTGGGGCTATGCAAACGACCCTACCCAAATCTGTCCAATGTTGCCGGGGTAGGGCTGGCTCACGTATAATACCTAGCCACTTCAGAATAGGGACTGTACGTATGTGCACCTGATACCATTTCAGGCAACACCTGGGCCAATTTGAGTTGGGCTCCCTCTGGGCGGTGATAAATTGTCTCTGGACAAGGGCGACAGACTTTGCTGGGACAGCCCAACTATTTTCTCTATCTTGCTTTTTCCTTTTCCGAGCTGGTTACCTCTTGGTATGATGAAGCACTCCGTGAACATATCCAGAGCCTTAAGGTGGCATCGCCTCACTCAGCTCCCAATGTAAGTGCCGAATTACTTATTTTGAAGGCCTTCCAACGGTATTACGGAAGTTGTCAGTTCACCCAGTGTTGCCAAAAGAGGGCCCACAACTTGCCACACACACACAAACTTCGCCAGGGCGACAACTCTTAATCTCAGCGCGGCCACTTTGACCCAGTTGCCCAGTGGTGCCCTTTTTTCCTCTTTTTTTTGGAAGGGTGTCCCTTCAAAGTCAACCAACCAAAAAAGGAAATGTGATCTTGGGTGAGCCCTCAACCAAAGTTAAATCCATGAGGCTCTTTGGTTACTGCTCTACTTACCAAGGTTTCCACGCAAGACCGCAGATGGCCAGGGCTGAGGAAACTTTGCAGGCTATTGCCTTGGTGCCGCGCAGCGATGTCTCAGGTAAGCTGGCTGGGTGTTACGCTTAAAATATCAAAAATAGAATCCTTGATTGATCTCACTATCCATGCAACAGAATCCTTGACGCCCGCTAAAAATCGGTTTTACCGATACCGCAAGTATACATCCGATAAACATTTCCTGTGGCTCTCACCGCCCTTTTAGGCGGGCACGTGACTGCCTGTTTTTGCTAACGCATGCTGACCACATTCTCCTGCCAAATGGATTTAATTCATGCATTGCCCTTCCTCTTAGTGGGACGGCCTGATTTTTGGCTTCGGCCGGGATGTGGGCTTCACTCACTCCAATTGGGGGGGGGGGGGTCTTGAGCAATGTGGCGGAACCAACCAAAAAAGGATGCCCTGTTTTCCCGTGGCCACTGGGCATCTGAGTTGAACTGAAGGGGTTCCGAGGCCTGTAAGGCCCAACGGCCTCTGTCGCCGGAGCGCAAGCCGCGGCGGAGCCTCCGGGAGTCGCGGAGGACTCGCATCTCGAGGGTGCGCCTCGGACGGATGCGGGGCCTCGAGCGAAAGGCCGCCGTTTGGGCCGAAGGCCTTGAAGCCTCGAGGGCTTTGTTTGCGCTGGGGGGACCTCGAAGGACCGCAGTGGGCTTAAGAACTGGTTGCTTTTGGCCTGTCGGGCGTTTGGAAGGGTGGTCTCAACTTGGAACGCGGGAACTATCATGAGCACGGTTGGCAACCATGCGCTGGTTGGGTTGTCGGAAAAGAAGGCCTCAGGTCTTGAAAGGACCCCCCAGACCTCTCCTCAATGATTGATTCAACCGGCCGAAAAGGGCGTTTGCTTGAACCCGTCAACAACTTTCCTTCATGCAGGCATAGTTCGAAGTGGCAATGGGGCCAATAGAACCGAAGAACTGGCTGAAGCCCCGAACCCTCTATGGACAAACCAAGCTGCATAAATCGTCCAAGGTGGTGGCGATACGGAATAGCAAGGAATGCTTCCGCTATCGCAGAATCGTAGGGCCGGCGGAGCCATGAATGTTGGTGGCTTTTTGGTGCAACGCTGTCCACACCCGTGTGACCCAAGTGGCAGCTCGAGGACGCTATGTGCATTCTATCCAGTCTATCTATCGAAGCGCTTGTCGATATGTCGTTCTGTATGCTGATTTGTCTGTCTATGTATCCCTCTATTTGTCTGCTGTTTGTTTGTTTGTTTGTTTGTTTGTTTGTTTGTTTGTTTGTCCGTCTGTTTCTCTGTCTCATCCTGTCCACCTATCTGTCTAATCCAATCTAATATATCTACGTACTACCTAACATAGAGGCATATATCGTAAGATCTTTTCTGTCTATTTGATCCAATCTAATCTCATCTTACCTAATCTGCTCTAGTCTAGTCTTATCCAATCCATCTATCCACCCACCCACCTACCCACCTATCTTTCTATTTATCGATCTACCTATCTTTATGTTGTTCTTTGATTGTTTGTTTTCTTTGCTTCTGTTTTTCCTGTCCGCCGGTTTTTCTGTCTGTTCCATGAGTTTATTTCTTTGATCTGCTTTTCTAGCCCTAGCTATCAGTTTATCAATTGACCTACTTGTGTATCTCACCAGCATCTATCCGGAAGCTTTAATGCAAATATCTCAATCTATCTTCTTCATGAATTTCATGGCAGGCGCATCACTTTCGTGAGGTCCGATTTAGTGTGACAGGAGCAGCACTCTCGCAAGGTCAGGTACGGTGATTGCGTGGCAGGAGCAGTAGATTGGCAAGGTGAGGCGCGGACTTCATGACAGGCGCAGGACTTTCACAAGATCAGGCGCAGATTTTGTGGCAGGCGCAACATTTTCGTCGGGTCAGATTTCGTGGCAGGGTGGCGCTTACGCAAGCTTGGGCACAGATTCCGTGGCAGGTGCAGGAGCACTGCAGATAAACGAACGCAAAGAAAGCTGCCGGATAGACAGACACATGACCATGAAAGCCAATTATGTCACCACAATCGCGGTCCGAACACGCTCCGAGCTCGCTCTGAGAGCGAACTGACCAGGCGTCGCTCACAAGCTAGCTTTTCAGCTTCCGAAGGAACTGAAACCCGCAGTTGGACATTTTTATTCCTCCGTCACACGCACGCATATTGTCTCGCGTGTGCCCATTCTTCTCTTGCATTTTGTCAGAGTGCTTTCATTTGGGTCGCGTGTTTTTTTTGCTTAGCCCTGGTTGGCCCCAACCCTGGTTGGCCCCAACCCTGGTTGGCCCCAACCCTGGTTGGTTGGTTGGTTGGTTGGTTGGTTGGTTGGTTGGTGGGTGGGTTGGTTGGGTTGGTTGGGTTGGTTGGTTGGTTGGTTGGTTGGTTGGCTGGCTGGCTGGTTGGTTGGTTGGCTGGTTGGTTGGTTGGTTGGCTGGGCTGGTCGGCTGGTCGGCTGGTTGGCTGGGTGAGCGGGGCTGGTCAGCTGGTTGGCTGGGTGAGCGGGGCTGGTCGGCTGGTTGGCTGGGTGAGCGGGTTTGGTTGGTTGGTGGTTGGTTGGTTGGGTGGTTGGGTGGTTCGTTGGCTGGGGGTTGGTTCCAGGGCAGAGGGGGCCTGGGGGTCAGAAAAAGGAGGAGGGGTATTTATTTTAGGATTGTTTTTCTTGGCTTCTTGGCTTCTTGGCTTCTTGGCTTCTTGGCTTCTTGGCTTCCTGGCTTCCTGGCTTCCTGGCTTCCTGGCTTCTTGGCTTCTTGGCTTCTCGGCTTCTTGGCTTCTCGGCTTCTTGGCTTCTTGGCTTTTCGGCTTCTTGGCTTCTCGGCTTCTGGGCTTCTGGGCTTCTGGGCTTCTTGGCTTCTTGGCTTCTTGGCTTCTTGGCTTTTCGGCTTCTTGGCTTCTCGGCTTCTGGGCTTCTAGGCTTTTCGGCTTTTTGCTGGTTTATGCAGCTTTTGGTGGCTTTTTGGCTTTTCGCATCCTCTGCATTCCCAGTTCCTCTTCGGCAGGTGGCGTTTTTCCGACATCATGGCCCCCCCCCCAACCCCCCCCGCTACGTTTTAGATTTTCTGCAGAGATTTAATTAGTTGCACCCCTAGTTGAATTATCAATTCTTCGAACATCATGGGGGGGTCTGCCGCCCCCCCCATCACTTCTGCAAACAACATCGTGGGGGGGGCTGCCGCCCCCCCCCAACCCCCCCGCTACTTTTTATTCATGTTTTTATAGGGATTGACATGCCCTCCTACTTGAATCATCATTTCTTTGACCCCGTCACACGATTTGTTGGTGATGCTAGGGATGTTGGTCGGACATGCGGGGGATGTTGACGGGCTAGTGTAAAATGCGTCAAGTTCGCGAGAAAATGCTGTAAAATACGACACTTTACTGGCCCGGCAGAGATTGAATTGCACCCCTGTTTGAATCATCACTCTTTCGAGCGTCCAATTTCGCGAGAAAATGCTGCAAAATACGACATTTTAGGTAATCTGTGTAGTCCATGTATGTCTAATCATCACTTCTTCCAACATCATGGGGGGGGCTGCCGCCCCCCCCCCAACCCTCCCCGCTACGTTTTAGATTTTCTACAGAGAATTAATTAATTGCACCCCAAGTTGAATCATCAATTCTTCGAACATCATGGGGGGGCTGCCGCCCCCCCCAACCCCCCCGCTACTTTTTAGATTTTTTGCAGGGATTTAATTGCACCCCTATTCGAATCATCACTGCTGCAACCATTATAGGGGGGGGCTGCCGCCCCCCCCAACCCCCCTGCTCTTTTTTTTTTTTTTTTGTTTGTTTGTTTGTTTTTATGCTGGGATTGAAAAGCCCTCCTGTTTGAAGCATTATTTTTTGACCCCGTCAACCCGCCAGCTACATTTTTGGATTTTGTTACCCACAATTTGTTGGTGATGCTAGGGATGTTGGTCGGACATGCGGGGGATGTTGAAAACGATGCTGGGGATGTTGAAGAGCTAGTGTACAATGCGGCAATTTCGCGAGAAAATGCTGTAAAATACGACATTTTACTGGCCCGGACGAAAAACGGAAAAAATCCAAAAAAAAGTAAAAATCCAAAAATAAATCCGCACCCGAAAAAGGACCTGGGGTGAAGAACAAGCTTCTTAGGGGTCAGATGGAAGTAATGGGGTCAAGAACGAGTGTTTTGGGGAACAGCAAGAAGCGACAGGGGTCAGGAAAAAGTGTCGAGAGGTGCACCGCCCCTTGCGTTGTGTGGGACGTTATAGCATTCAACATTCTCTAGTTGCAACTGTTATTGCAGCAACCTTAGCGGTGCCAATGTGCTAGCTGCGCGCCCAAACGGGTCAACAAAACCTGGAGTGTGCCAGTGCCTAGCAAAGGAAAGAGCCAAAGCTGCAGAGTAAAGTGTGCTCACAGTAGCGGAACGAGTTTGGTGGCTGCATCACGACCTGGAACTGGCCCGTGGTAGCGGAGTGAGTGTGTTGGTTGTGTTTAGAAATTGGTTAACAAGAGTTGGAGCGTGCCAGTGCCTAGCAAAGGAAAGAGCGAGAGCTGCAGCTTGTTCCGAGCAAAACCAGGGCCACGGTCAAGGCTCGTCCAATTTTACGCGACACCGCCAGTCAGCATGCACTTGCCGTACAGCTGGGCTTAAAGTGGAACGCTCCGCAAGTGGCAAGTCTCGCAGAAGTTCAAAGCCTAGCTGGTATGCCGGCGCTGCTTCGCTGTTCGGCGCCACAAACAGCACGGCGCTGAAGTGCGCTCGCCAAGCTCGCAGCTTTTGATTGTGGGCGGCCGTGGTTTCACCATAGGCCTGCGTCAAGAGCCTTTACGCTTACATGCTAGGTCCAGGTCCAAGGCTCACAAGAGACCGCGGCTGGGCACTGAGGCGCAGCCGCCGAAACGTAGACGAGGCTAAGGCATGCGGCCACAAGGGATTTGCTCAGAGACGCACGCGCGCCAGGTCGGGACATGCTCCGCAGATTCCGACAGTGCATTGAAACGAAGGCGGGGAACCATAGACGAGGCTAGAACATGCGGCGTCAAGTGATGACTTTCTCAACGCAGTGTGCGCCAGGTCGGAACATGCTGCGCTTCCAGGGCCGGTCACGACCCCAGCTCAAACTTGGATGATAGTTTTGTGCTGCAACCATGGGTTCAAGAAAGAAGCGTTGCTTCCCCGAAAGCTTGACAGAAGTTCATGCCTGATCTAATAACACATCGCGCGTCAGGCCTCTACGTGCCCAAGGCTAACGTCTGAGCCGACAGTTGCAGATTCATGGCAAAGTGCGAGAAGAAAAATGCTCGGAACGGGCAGCCTCAGCAAAGTCGTGGAAGCATGCCAAGCGCAGTCTAAGAACAACCGACTCAAACCACGGAAGGAAGCCCGCGCAAATACTCCAGGCCTCGGAAATATGCTGCCTCGAGCGCCCAGCTCCGGCTTCGCCCCAGCGCCCCGCGCCAAGACCTGCCGCGTGTCCGTGGCAGCGGAGCGAGTGTGTTGGTTGCGTGCCCGAACTGGTCAACGAGACCTGGAACGTGCCAATGCGTCGCAAAGGAAAGAGCCAAAGACGCAGAGTAAAACTTTGCCCATAGTAGCGGAGCGAGTGTGGTGACTGCGCGACGACCTGGTGCTAGCCAGTGGTAGCGGAGCGAGTGTGTTGGTTGCGCGTCCAAACTGGTCATCAATACTTGGAACGTGCCAGTGCCGACTCAAACCACGGAAGGAAGCCCGCGCAAAGACTCCAAGCCTCGGAAATATGCTGCCTCGAGCGTCCAGCTCCGAGTGTGTTGGTTGCGCGCCCAAACTGGTCAACGAGACCGGGAACGTGCCAATGCGTCGCAAAGGAAAGAGCCAAAGACGCAGAGTAAAACTTTGCCCATAGTAGCGGAGCGAGTGTGGTGACTGCGCGACGACCTGGCGCTAGCCAGTGGTAGCGGAGCGAGTGTGTTGGTTGCGCGTCCAAACTGGTCATCAATACTTGGAACGTGCCAGTGCCGACTCAAACCACGGAAGGAAGCCCGCGCAAAGACTCCAAGCCTCGGAAATATGCTGCCTCGAGCGTCCAGCTCCGAGTGTGTTGGTTGCGCGCCCAAACTGGTCAACGAGACCGGGAACGTGCCAGTGCGTCGCAAGGAAAGAGCCAAAGACGCAGAGTAAAACTTTGCCCATAGTGCCAGTGCCTGGAACCAGGGTTAGCCAAAAACCAGGGCTAGTCAAACAAAAACACCCCAACCTCTTCATTTCTTCTACGCTTCCTTTGGCTAATCACTGGCGGTACTCAGCCGACGTGTAAGGCAATGCCCGCCGCCCCGCCCTCCCCCGGCTCGAGGCCCAGCACGGAGTTCACCACGCCAGAGTCACCTGAGGCGAGTTCCGGTAGACCGGCCGGTCAAGGAGGGGTTGCTGGTCACTGCTGTGATACCTCAGCGCACCCGCGAAGTTACCAACTTGTTGGAGAGTGAAATTGGGTTTTTCATCGGGGCTACAGATCTTTTTTCATCCTTTGTGTGTTGAAGGGTGGGATGGTGTTGGGATACCCCGCAGAAGGCACTGATGCTCATGCCCTTTTCCAAACCGCGGTTCCCGCAGAGACGCTTTTCTAACCGCAGCACGCGTGAGCAGCAACAGAACAAATGAAACCGCTATACATGGCTGGGCTTAATGTAGTCTTGTTTGGCCTTTTGCCTGTTTCTGAAGTTCCTTCACTGTCCAACAAAAAAAAAGGGTTCCAAATTTGGCAAAGTATATGTGCACAGACGTAGATGTAGATGTAGACATGTGCATATTTCGATGCTTTGTCAAGATTACATGTCTCCGAGTGAGTTGAGGCAAGCTCAACTGAGGGCAGCATGAAACCCAAGCGTATTTGGCTCCAGTTTGCTGCTGCTGCTGCTGCTGCTGCTGCTGCTGCTACTACTACTACTGCTACCCTTTCAGGTGAATGAGTAGCAAGCCAAGCCACATGCAAGCTGCTAATTCAGGTTGAGAGCGACACAGCTACAAGCATGTTTTGCTTGTCAGGTCTTGGGTATTGTCGTGCGCATTCATGCGATATGACGTACCTTGCTTGCCTGACAAGCCTTGCAAACAACGTGCTCCGCGTGGCGGGCCGCCCCAGTCAGGTCATCGATTTGGACCCGCCCTCCACGGTCAAGACCAGGGTGCCGTGCGTCACCTTCAACGAGGAGATGAGAACATCCGTCCTCCGCAGTGCACTCCATTCACCCTGGTGCATGGGGCCGTACCCTCAAATGAGTTTGGGGAGTTTATGCACAGCCACGCTCCGCAAATGTGTGCGCCAAACACCTTCAAAAGGTCGGGGGGTTGTTGAGCCTTACTAGGAGAAATGGGGGGGTCTTTGGTTGGGGGGGACAGGGTCTCTGAACGAAAGGTCTCTTCCCCACACATTAGCCCTTTGTGGGTTCGGAGGGCATGAGCTCTGATTCCCCGCACAACATGTTTGTTTCACCCAACATCCGCATTGAGTTATTCTAGTCGAGTTCGACCTCCTCCCCAGGAACGATGTGCAAGTGAGTCTGGGTGCCGACAAGCGAGCCGCCATCGAGCCTCTGCCTCTGAAGATTTTCCGGGAACGCCCTTGCAATCTTCACAGCCAAGTTTGTCATTATTTGCTTCTGTCATCCCGGCCACACCAACTAATGTTTCCTACTCAAGCCTCAACCCAGCAAAGGCAACTCGTTCAAGCAACCAGAAGGAGATACCGCGCAAGAATCCGGAAGTCTTTGCCAACGCTACAGGCGAATTGCATGCTATAATCTTATGTGCAGCTCGTGTCCCCCTCATTCTCTTGTGTTTAGTCATCCCCATTCTCGCTTGTCCAAAGGTGACCTTGTTGACCCAAAAGGCCAACGCTTTACAACTTTCTACTTCCAGGTCCTTTGGGCAGATGAGCTTTGCGTACCCTCATGCAGGGAATTGTGCGACCTTGTTTCACCCAACGAGTGCGCCGAGCCTTGCCTGAACAACAGCCAGGAGCTCAACAGCGAGGTGCCATTGATTACTCCCGTGGGGCGGCCCAATTGGATGTGGGCCAGAGGGAGGCATCTCCTGCAAAACATCCTCTCCTCTGACAATTCGGTGTGCGATTTGAGCAAGGCAACTTACACCTGTAGCGCTGTATTTGTGATTTGCCAAGTGAGAATTGTAGGCACCATCAGCATGGACAAGTGCATAGTTGTTCAGTGCCACTCATTTCTCTTTCTGTTCGCCGGGTTGGGTTTATCCGTTGAGGAAGACCTTATACCGGACCTGGCTGGTTGGGTTTGATGTCCTCTGACAAGTTGGGCTACCCGGGCCCTTTTGGGTCTATTTGGGTTGGAAAGCCAAAGCCCACAAAGGGCGAGGCTACTTACTGATAAAGATCGGCGCACCAGGCATCTATATCATCCTGTGCGCCATGAACGTGCTTCTTGCTTTGGATGTAATGTGTTTTTGTTGCCAGTGGTTGCCATGATTCTGGTGAGAAAATGTGTGCGCTTGTTCGCCTATGCCGGGTCAGCCTGATGGCATGCAACACGGGAGCGTAGCCTTCGGGCGCATTTGCTTGTTGGCCGAACTAACGTCTCGCGCCATTCTTGCGCATTTGCAGTTTGGTTTGCAGTAATCTCTGGTTGACCCACAGAGTTGCGTTCTGCTATTCATTTGGTTCAAAACTATTTGCCTATTGTATGGCGAAGCTCACTTGGGGACGAAACAAGTTCACCATAAGGACTTTGGGATCCAATTATCGTTTCGGATTTGCACACACACACACATATATATATATATATGTATATATGAGGCACGGTCAAAATTTTCTTATTTGCGGCCGTTTCGCTACTTAGTTTGAGAGTCCCCCATTGTTTTCCAGCGTTTCCAGCCTTTTCCTGGGGCATCGTTTTTTTGAGAGTCCCCTATCGTTTGCCATGGTTTTGCGCATTTTCAGAGTATCAATGAAACACCAAATACTAAACTCAGCAAAAGTAATTTTGACGGTACTTCATAAATTTGTATTTGTATATGTGTATGTGTATGTAATACGTATGTGTTTATATATATATATATATCTTTTCCCAACCGCTTGGTTGTCACTGGTTGCCGTTTGGCGCCAGACCGGGGCGAAAGCCATGAAGCCGTTGAAAGCCATCAGAGCCATCAGCGCGGAGAAGGCGGTGGGGGCGATCGCGGAGCCCTTCGATATCACCAGCAGGACAGAGATGGCTGGGTGAGTCATAACGACACACGACCAAATTCACCCCAAATGGTGGTTCATGTGGGGAATGGCCCCCCAACCACCGCAAGCTTCAGGCTGGGGAACTATATTTCACCCAGAAACCAGAAGGAAATAAATGGCAATGTAGACCCACGAGGCGAGCCAAATGGAGGTGTCCAATCCCCAGCCAGAAATAGTTTGACTTGGGTGGTCAAAGTTAGAAGGGGTTGTTTCCATTGCTCAGCTGAGCGCAGTCCAAGCGGACTAGTTTTTGCACCTGCACCGCGTGCATTTTGACAATGCCACATTTGCTTGCAAAGAAACACCGTAACACCACCCTCGTATGAGGTGGTTGACATGTCGCAGAGCTGTGGTCAGTGTGGTAGGCAAAACTGTAAGACCTTTTGCGGCGTCGCAGGGTCATTTGGCCCCTGCCTGGACAGTCCAGAGAGCACTTTTACAGCCGATTCTGCGGCTCCATCTGTAAGACTATTCTCTCACTCGGTGATTTGACTGCCTTCCTCGGGAAACACTCAATAGCTTTCTTGTTTTTTTCGTTTTCCCTACGGGGCTGGCCCACGTGGGCCGGCAACCCTATGATGTCGAAGAGTACCACTAGAGTAGACAAGAAGGGCCAACAGGGGGAACAACACGCGGAATACATGAACCGCATGCAACAAGTTTTCTAACGGCGCATGAAATCACTGGTGAAGTAACCCAAGTTGTTGAGTTGAACTGCCCTGGCCACAGTGAATGGAATTCAGGGGCTCCTTCCCGCAACGACGCAGGAAGGAGATGCTTGCTCGGCGCAACCTGCGGGCTCTCACAGAAAACCACCGCGCCCTGGCGAAGGAAAAAGGGGCCCTACCATAGGTGTCCTTTTTTGGGTTAGCTTGACTAGAAATAGATGGGTTCCACTGGTTTAGATGAGCTTTATTCCATTTGTCAGGGCCATCTATGTTTCCAAAAGGACACTCATAGGCGCTACGTCTTCACGTATGCCGCATAGGTTGCAAAGGTATGACCGCAAGGATGTCCCGACCTTTGAGTTGTTGCCTTGGGAGGGCGTGACCCTACCGCATTCTCTTCAGACTTCTGCGAGATGTGCGGAAAAAGGTTGAGACCCAGACTTCAGGGATGAATCTCTCAGTTTTTCGGTTTTCCGGCGGCCGGAAAAAGGACCGACCAGAAAGATGTGCGGCAAGCGCCCCAAACAATCTACCATGGGCTATGGATAACGGGTTTGACGTATGCTCTCGAGTGCGGAAGGTCTTGCCTGAGGAGTTCGCGGCAAGTTTTCTGTGGGCTCTTTGCAATTGAAACTGGCAGCCTCTCTGGTGCACAAGGTCTGGGGCCCCTGAAGGAGCAAGTCCTGCACAACCTCAGGTCTCTTTGCATGTCTGTGTTGAGGCGCCCTAGGTCTTCACACAAACCTTTCCAAACGCTTTGTAGATCTTAGATCTCTATGCATGCCAAAATGTCCATCGATCCCTTGAGACCCTAGGGTCTGGGCCCCTTTTCTCTCAACGCACTAGTGTCTGAGTGTGCAACGCGTTGTTCGGGGACTTGCGCACTGCAATAACTCCTCAGTCTCAGTGTGGAGCACCCTGTTGGATATTGAAGACATGCGCTTGTCTCCGCATGTCTCCGCTTCTCAGATTCAAACAGCGAAGTTCCAAGTCTTCTCCAAGCCTTAAGAGCATCGTTGCTAAGGAACCTAGACACCCAAACTTTCATTTTCCTAGCCAGGCCCACCTGATGTGACCCTAAGATCCTAGAAAAAACGCAATAGTTTCAGATGCGGCAGCCTTTCTTTGTCTCTCAACTGAACCGCAGAGGCAGTCAAAAAGGCTGAGGCCCGGCTTCGCCAAGCAGTCCCTTGCCATCCATCCACCTTGATCTTAAGGATTTGGGGTTCAACCTTCGTCATGTTTTGTCCGGAGGTGTCTCAAAATGGCGTCCCCGCATATGGCTGGCGGTTCGAGAACTCCAGGAAAGCAGCTCGCCCTTTGTAGGGGCCTCCACCCTGGCCCTTTCTTGCCTTTGAAAGCCATGAAGGCGCCTCCCGTCACACGGTCCGAACGCCAGGCGTGATTCTGCAGCAGTGCCAGCACTGCTTCAGCTTCCTGAAGTCCCTGAGCCCCGCACAGCGGGCCCGCTGCTCGCTGCGCTATGTCGCCCAGTGACCCCGAGACCCGAGACACGGCTCGTTCGATGCTTTGCCCCGGCTTGGGCCGGGGACCTGTGACATGCCGGGACTGAAGGAGCCGCAATGAGAACATTTGTTTGTGCAATGGGCCTGTCTCCATGGCTTGAGAATCAGGACTTCACACGATCACTCTTGGTCCCTAAACTCACTTCCTGAGTTCCTGGACTTCACTTGTTGGAACGACAATTTTCGTGGTAAAAACAAATATGGTTACTTGTTCGGACCTATCAAATCGATCGGAAGCAAGGAAACAAGCAAGGAAAGCGATTGAGAACCAATTCATAGTGCTTGGTGCGTGGTTGACTTGTACACAGGGGGTCCACCTACATAGCAACGCTTTTCAAGACACAACAGAGAGAGCGAAAGCAGTGTGACATTGAGGCCTTTTTGGAGTTCAAGATTTGGGGCTGTCCCTTGTCTCCCCGACTTGTGCAGACGAGAAGAAACATGTGGCAGGGGAAGTCTTTGCGCCAAATGGATGCATGACATGAAATTCCTGTCTGGTGCCAAAATGACCCATACTTGTTAATCTCTACCCTGAAGTGCGCCGCAAGAAGCTGGATACATTGTCATGTTCCCACCCCAGCCTCCCTCTCCCACCTCCCCGTCCCTACCAACAAAAATATGCAGTGGAAGGCAGTCAACAAAATAACAGGTCAGCAGGTTTCTGGGCGAGGTGTCTAAGGGTTGTCGGGCCACACTAGCTGAGCAAATGAATCGGCTGTCTCCTGAAGCAACGCCAGCAGAGGTGCCGGGGCCAACGATGTGTTGCGAGGCCCAGATGCTTGGGTGAGTGACAGGTTTAGATTGACCTTGCGGCTCTTGGAAAAAGACTGTTCCCACCCCGCATGTCCATGTTTGGAGTTCCATGACCCAATAAGCCAAACCCAAACAGCCCGAGTTCGACAATTTGAGACACACCCGCATGACCAACGTCTGTTCGTTCCTCGTTCCTCCAAGGAACCCAGAAAAAGGATTGGTGGCTTCAGCGCCCATGTGTCAACCTTTGCTCACTGCATACGAAACAGGCTTCTGCTGGGTTGCTTGGGGCTGCCTTTTGTGCTGGCCGGTTGCCTTGTTCTCGACTCAGGAGCCCTGATCTTAACTTTCGGGTTAGAGTAGAGAGATGCTTTATTTCACTGGTCAATTGGTGAAACGATAGCGCATGGGGCAAAGCACAAAGAAACCGGCAGCGCAGATAGGAATTCGGATGCAGGGGCTGCGGTTCGGCAGTTCCCTGTCAATGAAGCGTGCGGGGTAATCGATTCGGGCAGATAATTCGAGCACACGTGCAACGGCAAGTGCGGGGCGATCGCACGGCAAAATCCAGGGCCTTGGACAGGCCTCTCGCCTGGTGTCAGGTTGGGCCGGGAGAAGTCGAGCCATGGGGGGGGGGATTGCGTGAAACGTGGCCAAGGCGCCACGGGGCCCAGACCTGCTACTGGCCATTGCGTAGCCAGAAAAGCGCAACAAAATCCCATGCCCACGGAGGCACTCGTTTCTAAATGGCGTTGTGGGCTTTTGGGTGGGTGCAGCGGATATGCGTGCAGCAGGTGGGTTGCCGAAGTGGCGTTTCGGGGCAACCCGCGAAAACCAACCCTGCCTGCGCACGTGTGAGATGCCCCTCCCAGCAACGCCTTGTTCCTTCTCTGGCCGCGTCAAAGCATGTCAAAGCACGGTCGGGTGGCGCGTTGATTGTGATTTCTTTCTTGGCTCCGAGGTGGGCGTTGGCCCTGTCAGCGCTCCTCGCTCGGAAAGCCCGCAGGAACAGACCGGAGAGGCCAGAGCAGAATTGCCGATCCTTTTTCCCTCGGCCTGGCTCTCCCCGTCAGTACACCTATATTGCGCTCCGGCATCGGTGAGGGGCTTCGGCTTGGGGTTCCCTTCCTGTAAGCCATGCTGATTGAAGCCATCTAGCCACAGGGTCTCTTCCGACCCCCCCGGTGCCACATGTCTTCCTTATACAAGACCAGGGCCACTGAGCGCTAAGGCGGGATTCCAGCCAAGGCTGGTCCAATGCCATGTGTCGCCTCTTATTTTCCGGGTTCCGTTTTTGAGATCACTGGACCATCCAACCAAAATCCCCTCTTTGCATCTTGTGAAGGCTGACCCCGAAAGGATTCCAATTGTGGGATTCTGGGCATTAGCTTCAACCTCGCGCCATCTCCATTTTGCCTGTTTGAACTATTGCCTCGGGGCTCGCATCGAAGTGGGTCGCAGCCCCATGCCTTTTGTTTGTTTGTGCCTGTGTTTTCTCAGGTCGTTTGTCCAGCTCGGGCTATTCTGAGTTCACCCGCTGAAAAGGTAATTGGTGACCTTCATGGGGATTTGGGTGGGGGGTTGTAACCTGCCTGGTTCCTACGTGGGGCACACTATGCTTTGCCCAGAAGCTACCGCGCAATGTTGGCATTTTTCCAGATGTCACCCGGACTGTTTTGGGGGGCCACGCATGGCACGTATAGTCTGCGCCTTCATGTGGTGACCTGGTCTACTGGCGGTCAAAGGCTGGATGTGGGAACCCATGTGTGAACGCCTGATGTGAACCCCTTGCGTGTAGTTGTGGTTCACTTAGCGCCAGTTGATAGGTTGTTTGTTCCATTGCTCACAGGACTCCTTCCACAGCTGGGTTCATACGTGTTTTTTTTTTTTTTTCTCCCATGGCATCGTTTTTCACTTTGGTGTCCCTTACCAATCAAAAAAGGGGGGGTACCTCCAAAAGGAACCACACCCATCACTCAGCCTTTGCGAAGTTTTTGGGACGGTCGCTCGGCGGCATCGGGCGTATGGAGTGCGTCAGGAAAAAGAGAATCGCCACGGCGGGCTCCGAGAAACACACCCAAACGGCAGGGCTTTGAGTCCATGAAGCTGAAGCCATGTCCCAGTCAACCCGTAGGCATATTTTTTTTATGCAAACCTGAATTCCCCCGTGGGGACACCTTTCAATCAACCAGGGATTCATCCAGGGTTCCCCCATTGGCCATCAAGCCGCAACATGAAGAGTGAGGTTGCTCTCAGTTTGTGGTTGGACCCTTCAGTCGCATTGTGAGTGACCAGGTTCCCCGCTCGGACCAACTTGAGGTGAGCTTCCGCTGTGAGGTTTGAGGGGGGGATGTATGGGGCGCCCTGGAGGGCGAGAGGGGCACAACCAGAGGGAAAGTGCTACCGCCACATGGGATGCGAATACACCAGAATCAACATGAATTTGGCACAGTTGCCTTCCAACATGTGAAGCTGACCTTCCAACCGTGCTTCGCACCATGGCATGATTGGTTTGCTCACATGCCGAATCAACGAGAAGGACCTTTTCCCTATTTGGACAGGCTCGGGTGAAAGAGGTCCAGCCTAGTTCGTGGAAGCATCGAGTCACCGGCTCGTGTGAAATGCAACCGCCCCCAAGGCAGACATGGTCTTGTTTGATCTACCAGACGAGCCATTCGTTGGGAAATGGGCCTTCTGAAGGGTTGCTCCGAGCCTCCGAAAGGCGGTCCAAGCGCAAGGGTCTCCGAACATTGGTCTGGCAGTGTTTTGGTTTCCCAAAAAAGCTGGGCCCAAATTTCTTGCTCCAAACTTGAGCCTAGGGAGCAAGCCCACTGCAATGTTTGGCCTTTCGAGGGACACCGGAAAGGCTTGCTCCCCATGCCGGCCTTGAGGCCAAAGCGGCGCGGCGCGCGGGGAAGCAGAGCCAGGTGCTGAGTGAAGTCAGGTGCTGGCCGAAGTGTGCGGAAACAGCGTCTTTGCGGCGAGTCTGTGAATAGACACCATCCCAGGTGCTAATCGGCACAGAATTACACACTCTCCCACCAGGAAACCAACAGGAGATACATTCTATTAAACATGTTGGCCGCCTTGCTGCCGGACATGGTTGCTTCCCCAAGACAAGACTTGGATGGCTTGGTTGCAGTTTGTCGGCACGGTGGGGCACATGAGAAGCTGCCAGCGCCCTCCAACTGCTCCTTCCAGCAGTTTGTCAAAGTTGTGTTTGAAAGGTTTCCCTCCAGGCTTTACCCTTAGGACCACTTTTTCATAGGAATCAGATGGGACCAGCTCTGGTTTTGCATTTTCCGCTGCCTTTTTAACCCGCAACACAACTGGCCTAGGCCTTTGCCAACAACTTGGCGGTGACCGTTTAGGTGTGGCCCAGAAGGTGAGGCGAATGGAGAAATGGGATGCCAACCTTCGAAGAATATATGAAGTATACATGAAGCATCCATTTGGCCAGTGGCCACCAACCAAGAAACGAGATACAATACATCTTCAGTTCAGCAAGGGTGGAGAGTTCCCGTTGCGCAGTTGTCCCTGAGCCGTCTGCGTTCAGGCAAGGTGTCCTTGTTTGATGCCTCGTTTCGTACTTGAGCACATTGCCTGACTAGCCTTAAAGGGGCCCAGCATTCATTTCACTCCCTGAGTTCCTGGACTGTAAGCTTTTGAAAAACAAGAAGTTCCGACCTTGTCTTTGGCCAATCTGAGTTCATACCCTACAATACCCTGGGTGGATTTATAGCACGTCCCGTTTAGAAGGGTTGACTTTGAAATTGTACCAATTTATCCACCAGGCTGAATCATCTGGGTTGGCGTTGCCGGAAACATGAAACTGGCTCGCGGTGCCACGGAGGCGACACGTGCGGACCCCACCCGCTGGCGACATGCGTGAGGCGGGAGGTGTGGGCCGGGCGCTGGGCCCAAAAGAAAGAAACGACCATCCGAGGCTCTAAAAGTTCTCGCGGCTGCATGTATATGCCCCTAGTTTGTGGACATCAGCCCCCGAAAAGAGTGCCTTCCATTCTCATGGCACCCAGGTTTCCCAGCAAAAGAATGCCCTGAAGCCCTTCCTGTTAGCCTCCGGGGAAATCAACTTAGATGCCGGCCTGAAATCGTTTTCCCCCAGCTCCATGTTAGGCAACCACAGGGCCGGACAGCGACAGGGCAAGCCACCAACACGGGAACACGCAGTGATCCGCCCAATTTTTTGTCCCTTGAATACTATCTAAAAAGAAGATTCGAGGACGATGATGCTCGTTCCCCCCACATAATAAATGGGCCATAAAAGGGCCCTGCCCACCCCCCCCCCCCCACCGCTAGCAAAAAAGAAACACTTAGGGATTTGTTTTTCATTGCTTGGCTTTTGGGTCCACTTCTGTCCTCTTATGTCCTCTTTTGGCCCCGGGGTCAGCAGGAGAAATCTATATTTGAAGGTGGCTTAGAATTGGCACTTAAGCATTGGCCACGTTACATTTAGACCAGTCACGTTGTATACCTGGGGGAACACCAGGTCGATGGTGTCCCGGCACATCCTGGCGGAGCTATGCAAGAGCCGTGCCTTGCGACAAGCCTGCCACTTGCTTCTTTCACTGGCTCTTTCATATTTTTCTGACATGCTCGTGTTAAAAAGCTTCTGAGCTTTTTGTTGGTTTAATCTTTCGTAGGCGGTTGGGGAAAAACTGCTCCCCGCACAGCCGCCCAGGTCAGCTCTTGGAGACGGCGAAGCTGGGAACCGGGAGGCCTCGGAGCCAGGCGATCGGCTTGAACTTGGTGCTTTCCGCCCTCAGCCCCTTGGCCAACACTTTGCCCTTTCTTGGCGAACACGGGGTTGCCGTTTTTTTTCTTCTTTTTCTCATTCTTATGGCCATAGGTCTAGGATAACAAATGCCCGCTTCCGCCGACCCCCCCGTTGATTGTGGGTGATGTGGGTGACGCGGTTCGCCGGGTTGCGGTTGGCAGGTAAGCCGCCTTGCCAGGGTTTGCTGGGCGTATCTGCCAGCTCGTTATGTGTGTGTGTGTGTGAGTTTTCCCTCATCCGTGGCTTAAATGGCTGCGACTCAAAGTTTAAGAGCCACCGCAGGTGTGAGTATACTTACTTCTCCATGTGCCAGGGTTCCATGTTGCGCCCCCCCCCCCCCCATTTTTTGAGCCACATTCCTCGCTAAGGTCAGGAAGCCCGTTGGCAAGAAGCACTGCACCTCCTGACCACCTGCCAGGTGCATCGGAAAGCTGCAACGAGCCCATGTGGCAACTTCAGGATTAACCAAATGGCTTCAGATTAAAGCAGCGTTTTGAATCGCCCAGCCAAAAGGAAAAACACCCGATTCGCTGGGGTCCATTACTCCTAGGCTTGCAAGCATCAAGCTTTTCAAGGGATGGGCCTTGGTCGCTCCTCTCTCTTTTTTTGTTTTTTGTTCGAAAAGTCCAGCCTTGTGGTTGGACCGCAGGCCGACGTGGTCAGCTTTACCTCGGTCATCACTGCTTGCAGGGCGCGGTGGCAGACGGCTTTACGGCTCTTGGAAAGGACGGGCTGGGCTTCTCAGGGAGTCAGGACTTTTCAGGGTTCTTTCGAAGCATATCCGCCATGGCACAAGGTGGTTTTAAGTTCATGCAGGCCAATTCTCCAATATCTCTCAGACCGATATGCAATTTTGCCCTCGAGACCCGGTTACCATTTGAGCTGTATACTCCCATTGCCTGTCTTTGTTTTGGTTTGGTTTGTTTGGTTTGCTTGGCTCATCTTGGCTCCTTTGGCACCGCTTCAGCTCCCAGATTTTTGTAGTTTGAAGCTGGCCCGTGGGCTTTCTGCTCTTGGGTCTTCGGACTCAAATTTGCGGAGGACCCTAGGAGTGAGTGGAATCCCCACAAAAAATAGATCACCTTACAAAAAGAGGATGCCCACAATTGTACTTGTGGACCCTCAATTTCAGGATGGCAATGTTTGATACTTCATGCAGATAATTTAGCTGCAGGTAGGACTTGGCCCAATACGCTATGTTGTTGAGGGCATCCTGTTTGCATGGCTTCGCGGGGAGACCGACAATGACACCAACCAAGCCTTGGCTGATTTGGGGAATCTCCGGTGCTATGCCCTCCAGGGTTGCCCCTTTTTTTATATGTTTTTTGAAGGGGCGTTTCCCGTAAACTCGACTGCGATATAGCGGGTGCCTTTTGCTGGATGACAGGGGTTGCTCCGAGCGTTTAAGCGATGAACAAGCCTGAGTAGAATTTGGGCTAGGTTTCCCTTAGTATCCGTTTTTAGGGGCTACCAGCTTTCCGCCGTGCCAAAGGTTCTAGGACGCGCACTGATGCGCGCCAATGAAACCAACCGGATGTGTTTCCCCCTCGGGGCACAGGATGGGCCACCAGCGCATCGCGGCAGATGGGGTGGCGCAGAATGCCGCCGGCAGCCAGAAGCTCAGATCAAGAGGAGTGTTTGTCAGCTACCCCTTAAATCTATGGTTTGGATTTGTGGTTTCGGATAAATCAGGAAGGTGCGCGTAACCTCCAAACTACCAAGCCAAGCCATCAAGTAAGCTTCAGGTGAGTATGGGAATATGTGTAAACGAGCCCCGGCGGGCCTTCATACAGTTAACCCCCTTTATAACCCCCTTTATGAAGACACTCATTTTGCTTTGGGTTAATCAAGGGGCCCCTTTTTCAGTGTTGCACGGAGCCTTTTTCGAGGTTGTCGTGACCAGAACACGTCGTCCAGAAGCGTTCTAGCTGTATCTAAGGGACCGGCTCTGTTGCGGAACGTTGATGACGCAGTCCTGTGGGGACACCGCTTATGGTTTGTTGTGTTTGGTCATGTTTCTTTGGTGGTCCTTTCCAAACATTACATGTGAGGGGGCACGTTGAAGATGTTTGCCGCCAGAAGAAGGTTGTTGCAGTTACCCTCGTGCTTTGTGAGCTGAAAGATGCCTTGGTGAAAAGAGCCTTTCGTTTCTTCACGAAGACATCATGTTGGTAGTTGTGCAACTCGAGCTGGGTGCCTTGATTGCTTGGAGGGTGTTCAAGTAAAGGCTTGTGACCTGATTCAGCATCTTCAACTCCAATGCATGGACCCCCTTTGAGGAACCAACCGATTCCAACATCCAACCACAAAAGCCTTCGCTACCAAAGCCTTTACGTTGTTGACGAAGTATGCAGCATAATTTGCACCTGTCGTTTTGCGTATCTAAACGTGTTTTGACAAATTGGGGTGGGGGATTTGGCCAGGATAGCCTCCTGTCCACATGGACGTCGTTAAAAAAACACGAGCATGGTGTTTTATCGAGTCAGGTTCCACGCGGATGGGGTGGGAACCCAGTTCTGCGAGGCGCCTGCGAGCGCGCGAGCTCGTGGCCCCGGTGCATCGCGCTGGCCAGTGACGGCGTGGGCGCCAGTGTGGCGGTGAGCGCCTGCGTCCGAGGCGGGAAGGATGGAGGATATTGCGTTTCCGTGTCTCTCTGTGAGTCTGCAACTTTGGTTTGTGTGTTTGGGTCTGTGAATTTGTGCCTGCTTCTGTGTGCTGGGACAAGGTAAGCCCGGCGCTTGGCTGTAGCGATGAAGGCTAGAGTTGCTGTTTTTTGGCTTGAAGCTGGGGGTGTCTTTTCTGAAATAAAAACCACACAAGAAGGTACTTGCCCAAAGCCGGCTTTTGGGTTCCCTGATGTGGTCCAGCATTTGGTCAGGGTTCTAGGTTAAGACTTTATTTGCAGGTCCTTTGGGCAAGTGAGAATAATAAATATGGGTATGTGTGTGTTTGAGGGTTCTCATTTTGTTGGTTTGGTTTTTGAGGAGAACGGTCGGGATTCATCACTTCATTCAGCGGAGCACTCCTTCAGGGCTCAACTGTGTCTTTTCTTGTTTTGCGGTAGGGGAAAGCAGGGGAAACCAAAAGGAAAGCCGCCATTCTTGGAGGAATCCATGGGACCCGACAAACCCCGAGATCCGCAGTTCCCGGCTGAGTCCGCGCCTGGCGCCCCGGCCTTGCGCTCCTACGGCGCAGCGCCGCGGTGGATTCGGCGGCGGCCACGCCGCTGCTGCGGGCCTGGCGCCTGGGGGCCGAGCTGCCGCCCGGAGCAAAAGCTCCAAACCATAGGCGTCCTTTTTAGGTTAGTTTGGTTAAAAATGGATGGGTTCCACTGGTTTAGATGGTTTTTGTTCCATTTACCAGGGCCATCTATTTTTCCAAAAGGCCACCTATGCTCCAAACCAGCGCCATTTGGAGGGGTTCTCAAAATGTCGTTCGACGATTGGTTTCCCGTCAATCTTGAGGACAATCTTGAGGATGTCCGTTTTAAAGGGCCCACCCAGTGTAAGCATCCCAGACGGGGTCCTTAGTTTTGGTTTGGAGATTTCTGCGAAACATCATGTTGTGTTCCAGATGCCTGTTGAGTTTCATTTACATCCTCGCTGGTGTTGAAAAGGGACAAGGAAATACGCAACTTCCCGGACGGCCTCAGTCCGGACTGAGCAAAATCAGTAAGAGAGGAACAATAGGGATGCGGGAAAGGGCAGGCTTGACATTCCATGGTTAGCTGGGGGGAATCTGAAGTTGATTTGTTGTTGCCTTTTCTATTCTCTCCCCAACGAATTGGAAAGGTGAAGAGGAGGTTCCGATGGTGGACCCCTGGCGCGCACAGGTCAGCCACTGAGACTGTGGGGCAGGGTCCAACATTGCGCCCCCCCTTTTCAAGAGGTGAGTCTTGCAAAGAAGGTTTCCACGTGGGCTGTTTGATTTAATTTCCTTTGGGTTGAACATAAATAAACAGACCTCCAAAAGTGAGGCACCCCTTGATCCCCAATAGCAATCACAAACAAAAGTTTTTTTTTCCGCACGTGGTATTTGAAGCGAAAATTACAAAAAGCCGACACATTTCAACCCAAGCAACTCACAGAATAGCAAGTGCAATGACAGCACAACATGGATGTAAAGATACCCCAAAAGGACAACCTTTTTTTTGGGGGGGGATCCCGAAACATGTTCTGGCAGCGCCCAGGCTGTCCTGGCTCCGACATGCCCGGGTTCGGCCAGATGCACTCGCGCGGGAACGGTTTGGCCATGCCTGCGCGGAGGCAGGGATCCGGAGCAGGCCTCCCAGGAGGGAAGCACACGTCAGTCCAGTTTTTGGACTTTGCACCTGGGAGGATTTGCAGTGAGCAAAAAGCTCCCAGGTTGTTTGGGGCACCCGGTTCCACCCTCCCTTTGGGGTTGCATGCAAGGGGCAAGGCTTGGGCATGAGACTCCGAAAGGTGATCATGACTTGTTCCCGGGATGTGCACAGACCGCCTCCCTTTACACGTGCAACTGGCACCCTTAAAAACGTTCCCCGTGCGTGTGAGTGGTGGGAACTTGATTTCGGGCGCCATGGCTCCGCGTTTAGACCAGATATTCGGGCCGCAGTATATGTCGACAAACATTTGTTGGTGCTCCCCATTGGCACACTGGCACAGGAAACCTGCTGGCAGCTGGCACTACATCTCCGGACTGGCGGGAAGGGCGGGCCGGGGGAAGGGGCGCGAAGGGGAGCAGACAACAGAAAGGGGCATCCACCATACTACTTTATGGCGAGCTCATCTGCCGGCAAAGCGGTCTTCCCCATGATTTAGGTCCTTTGATTGAGGTGTTTCGGCTCACAGCGACTCACCTCAGGCTTGCCCAGCCGGGGCCAGGCGACCTCTCGGCAAGAGGCGTTTGGCGTCTACCAAGCCGTGGGGCGGCGTGTTTGGTTTTGCTTTTCTCGCCACCCCCGGAGTGCATCATTGCATCGCCATGGCACGCGTGGTGCTCCTTGTCCTCATGGACAAGGCCAAGGAATCCTTCCGCTTTGCGTGTTTGGAGGCTTTGCCCTTCATCCACGCTCCGAACTGGTCTTGGCGCGGGGCGCACCTTTTCTACGTCGTTGTGGTCTCGCTCGACGTTCGTGAAGCTTGCAGCCGCTTGATCAGTCCGGGCCTGCCTCTGCTTTTTGGGGAACAGCGACGTGTTGGCCTGGTTGGCGTCTTCACTATGCACTTCGCGCTGGATTCCGTGACGCTTCTGCTTCGCCTGGAGCAAGTTTTGGTGCGTTTATTGTGGCCTTTCCTTGGGTGTCTGTGCTTCGTGACCTCCTTTGCGGTGACTAGGAGCCCACCTCCCAAGGACACCTTCACTGGATTGTGTATGCCACTCTTCCTTCTGCGTGTCTCTCAGCTTTATGCTTCAGTGTGCGTTGATTTGGTCCTGGGCTTCCTGTCTACCTACCTAGGCCTTTCTTTGGAAGTTGCGCATCGCATTCTGCTAATTGCAGAGGGCCGAGCTTTTCGTTGCGGGTTGCGGGGGAGATCTCCTTCCTGAAGGTATTGGGCTTGCTGTCTGCTCTCTTCGTGGGTCGTCTTGGGTGTGTTGTGGTGCGGGCCACCTTGAGCCTCGCAAGGCCTCAGCTGTCCATGCTGATTCCCTTGCATGCTGTGGTCGGCTGCTGGCAGTACAGGATGGACTACTTTCTCTGTGTGGTTATCGCTGGCAGTTTTTCCACTGTTTTTCTGCAGCTTCCGCGTCCTTTTTTTGCTGCCTTATATAGTCAGTGCTTTCATCCGTTTGCATAGTTTTGGTGCCTCCTCCCCGAGGAGGTTCGTGGGATGTGGGCGGCCAACTGTGCTGGTTACTGGGGATTCTTCCCCTGTGTATGTCTGCGCTCTACAAATCGCCGCTGCGTCTGCGCCCCATGTGCCGGAGTGCCGTGGTGGCTGCCCATCATGTCTCACGAGACGCCCGGGCATCGAGGAAGATGTAGGTCCTTTGATTGGGGATCCGCAATTATATCTGATTTTGGATTCATTGCAAGATGTGCAGGTTGTTTCTCTTTCCCGCCCACGTAATGCAATCGCAAGGGTGGGAAATTGTGTTTTGTTTTTGCAGACCCGTTGAAACCCCAATTCTTCTACTTTCTCACCCGCTGGACGCATTCAAGGGTGTTCTGTTGCCAATTTTCGGCACCACACCTCCTGCATGTTCTTTCCATTTGCCGACCATTGTTGAAAGGAACCCCTTGTTGTATGCGTCTTGTTCTGTTGAAACGCAATGCCTTTCTTCTTTGACGAAGATATGACACAAGTTGAAAGCTTGAACATGAAGCGAGCATCACACTACAAACAGACAATTATGCCAACAAGACAACAAAATAAATGGCATCACAAGATGCTCTCAAACCAATAAACAAATAGTATTTAGAAATAAGATTTACAAGAACACAACATAGGAATGACAATACTTTGGCTTTAAAGTCAACTAACAAAGGCCACGCCCCATGCGGTTTTCTGGGAAAGGACCTACGGGGACCTTCGCAGGCCTGCATGGCTACCCTCTGGCCGCGTGGCGTTCGGCCGCTGCCCTTGCGGCACCTCGGAGGTCCTGAGAATAAGCGAAATCCGTTGGCGTTTTCCCGGTGGGTTTTCGGGGTTGAGGTTCTTTTCATTTGCCGGGGTTTGGTTGTTTTCTCCGGGTTCTTGGTTTTTTGCCCTTCTGTCCATTGGCTTGCCTTTTTTTTTCCCGTCTGTGCTGGTTTGGAAAGGGGAACGGATAGGACTTGAACAGTGCTTGATTCCTTTAACTTCGCCTGTTTTTTCCACAAAAGCTAGCCATGCTAGCATTGAGTTCTCCTTGGTTTAGCCATTAAGGGGGCTGGGCCGGCTTCAGGGGTTGTTTTGTTCAATCCCCCGCCCCCGCCCCGCACAAAGCTTTCGGGTCTTCATGCCTTTCTGGGTGTTCATTTAAGGTTGCTACTCTTAACATCGTTGCACCCACTGAGTCGCGCATGTCGTTGTTGGGTGAGTGAACATGCTCAAAGCGGGTGCTAACCCAAGATTTTGAGTTTTGCCCCCTCAAACAAACCAGGGGGTTAGCATATTGTTTGTCCACAGCCTTTTGCAAGCCGGTTCACCAGTCCTTTGAGGCAGGGCGCATGTTTCTGACTTTGAGAACCCCTGGAAACAGTCAAATCAATGGGCTCAATCCTTTCTTCGCGTTTGATTGATCGCTGCTGGGATGGGCTATTTCTCATTGCACTCCTCCCCCCCCCTCCTGAAAAAGGGGAATTGTGACGTGCTATCTTGCATGCCGCCTTGAAAAGTGGTCCTCCATGCTTTATGCTGTGGACCACCTAGCATGTATTTTTTTTGCCCACCTGGCAGTGGTTTCGAGGGGGCTGGCAAGTGCGGGAATGGTCATGGCGAATAACGATTAAAACACTAGGAACATTGTGTGGCAACCGCAGAAACGGGGGTTTGTGACCCACGTGAGGGTTCCTTCGGAGAACCCTTATTTGGGGCCGGAGGCTGGCAAGCCCAGACTCGATTTGTGCCTTGAATCTGGAATGCGCCGGGAAATCGGCCCCAGGCAGTTAACATCAGTGAACCCCACAAGGAAGCAGTAACCCGCTCTAGGGGGCAAGGTGAGGGGATGAAGGCACAACAAAGGGGTCCACTTCATGATTTCTCAGAGCCCAGGCTTTTTTTTAAATCCAGGGACCAAACCTGAACGGAAGAGACTTGGTTTGTCTTTCTTTTTGGCTTCCCTTTTCAGGTTTAAATGTTCTTCTCTGCCAGGCGTTTCAGAGCAACCCTCTTACAGGTTTTGGTTTCCTTGCCGGGGTGATGGGGAGGCAAAGCCCAACCCTTCAAAAGTGCACTTCCTTTCTCTGGGTCAACGTTCGGGACCATCTTACATCTTTGCCCTTGACTAAATGATGAGCACAGAAAGGATATAAGTCCCAGGTTTGGGTTTGACTGTTGACCCACTGAGGCGGGCGGAAGCTCCCCGCTTTTTGCCAGCAAGGCCATGAGCCTTTGCGCCAAAGCGCGGCAGTGGCCGCTCCGGCGGAAAGGCTTAAGGTAAAGCATGGGGACGGATTGCAGGGACTTGGTTTTTTAGTTTGGGGATGAGATGTTGTTTGCTGGACACGGTTCCTGCATTCTTTCCGGCCTTTTGGGGTGCCGTTTTGGTGATTCTGGTTTGCTTCGCCTTTTTGGAAAAGCCGAGGTTCCTTGGGGGGGCCCTCCTTGCTGGTTTGCAACGAGAATATCCAGTGACAGTTGTTTGTGGATAATTATTTGGATTCGATTGCCTCTCAACGCTGCTGGAGGTCTCTTGCTGTCTCCCTGCTGGGCGGACGGCCAGTTGACACGGCCATGTGTGCAGCGGCCATGTCGCCGGAATCAGCTGAAGGCTGGCCAATTCGGTCGCGAGGAAACCAGCACTTTTGACATTTGGGCAGTTGTCAACAAACACTCCTTGCGCTGAAACCAGACATTTGGAAGGACTCGCGTTCAACATTACAGTTTCAACGTTTGGGACCATCTTGCATGTTCGTGCGCCCTTACAGGTCTCGTTTTGAAACCTGGTCTCGTGCGTCAGCGTGAAGTGATTGACAACTCCTAGCATTTTAGGTGTTCCATTATCCCAGCAGGGAAGACAAGAACCATGGAAGTGGGCATCCCCGATGTCCGGAAGAGACTGGAAAGGGCCCTCCCTTTCCAGTTCCTAGAGCACTGATAAGAACCCCTAACCAGTTAGGTGTTTTGCCAGGTGGCAAAGCTCGCCATAGAATAAAAAGAAGGTTGGCTTCCGCTGCCTTCTTGGCGGGTCAAGGATTTGGCCCCTGAATTGCAGTCCTCCAGCTGCTTGCCATGAGCACCCCTTCAAGACAAATGTCAGGAAATGGTGCGCCAAAAGTCAAGGCAAAAGTCAGGGCAGCATGGTGGTGGTTTAAGCCTGACAACACTGAAAAACTGTGCTGGGATACTGGGTCAAGGATTTGTCCCCCTGAATTGCTGCCCTCCAATTGATTTCCATGAGCGCGTCAAGACCTTGCTCACTTGGTGAAGTTGTTGGAATCCAAAATCTGTCTGCCCGTCAGGCCTTCTGCAGCTGCTACGCCAGCGAGGCTTGCGCCTGGGTGCTGCCTTCTGCACAGCCCTGGCCAGCGCCCGGAGCAGCGCCGGGTGGAGGGCCGCGGGGTCGCTGCTGACGCGGCTGGAGGCAGGGCGTTCTCTGGGTCGGCGTCTGAGGCCATCTTACGTTTTTTTGTTGGGCCCTTGCCCATGAAAATAAGTATTGGGATTTGTAGCCTTAGGATTAAACGTGGACCAAGTTTGAAGGCGGGCAAATCATGGAAGACGTGTAGCATATGAGTCAAGGATGATTGGCACTTGGTCGAGTTTGAGTGGAACCCAGTAGAACCAGGGGATGGTTTTTGCAAGAGGCATGATTTGGCAATATCGCCGTGTAACATTACCCAGGTTACCTCGGGCCATCACCCTCTCAGAATCACGGAAATTGGGCTTTAGCTGCTTCTCTCGGAAGCTTCACTTGAGGGAATGACTGAGGTTCCTTCAAAATGGGAGGACAAGGGGGCCTTTGTCCAGATCCTGGCAGACCCCGTTTCTTCTAAGCAGCTGCTCACCCCACCAGCCAGGCGTGGGCCGTGCTGCCCGGCACGATCCTTTGGAACGTGAAGATGGCGGACTGCGCCCTGGTTCCCTTTCCGAGCCACGGATTTCGGGTCGGTGGAGTCCGGCCCCGGTTGGCCCTTTTTGTTTGGAAGCTGCTAATTTAACAGAAGAGTTCCTTTTCTTATCAGGGTCACTGGGCAACGAGGTTGGCCTCGAATGAATCCGGACCAAGTTCAGCAGGGTTCGGTCGGGGGGTCCTTTCGGTCCAAATTCCTTTGGTCACGATGGTTCTTCGCATTTTCCCGAAAGCCCAGTAGCCTTCAAGTCAGCCAGGTAGTCTTGGAAACCCTTGGGATGCAACGCATCCCATGTTTAGAAGCCGACGGTCTGTTTGGGTGAGGTTTGGTTTGGCTTGTGTATGCACAGTCGAAATCCAAAGTTCTAGGGTTGGGGGAGCTCATTTCGGACAAATAAGCGCCGACGCCCTCAAGGCAGGCAGGTAAAAGGAGGACCCTGATCAACACGTTGGCGATCAGCCTGGCTCACTCTTGTGCATTGCGCACTGTGACTCAAGCGTGTCACCCATTGGCTTCAAACAGATGTCAATATCTCTGAGATGGATGCCCTTTGAACGGCAGTGCATCCAAAACACTTTCTTGTTCACTCCCTACTTGTGGGGAGTTGTTCAATTCCCTCTTACAGCGGGTTGCCAGGGACATGGTGGCCTGCCTGTTGTTCCGCCTGAGCCAGTCTTTCTTCGTTTCAGCCGGGGCTGCTTTTTTTGGAGTCGCTTGATTTTAACCAAAGGCGGATCTTGAATTCCATTATCAAGCATGTTCCTTGTAGAGCAGCTTTGTTTGCGCGTGCCTTTCTTTTTTAATCCAGGAAGCTGGCTGACTGGTATTGCTTGAGAGGCAAGTCCAGCAAGTAAAAGACAGCTCCACAAGCGCATAAGTCCACCGTGACAGATTTGCTCGTTGGAAAAAGTGGGGCATCTTACACGTTCGGTGAGAGGCAATGTGTCCTCCCACAATACAAACGTGTTTTGCATTGCAATGTGCATGGGCATGCATGGGCCAGCCCCGTCAAGGGCACCCTAAGTGCTGAAAAGTTTTGACTTGAGTGATGGCCTATCCTACGCATCAAACAAAATAGGCTTTATTATCCCTTTTGCTTACTTGCTTGGAGAAACAAAAGGAACGGTGCCATGCGTTGTTGAAAATAGATTGGTTCCATATTGGTTGCACTTTGGTACCATTCTCATTTACCAGTGGAATTTATGAAGTTTTCCAGAAGGACACGTTGATTAAAAAAGTTACGAGCCTTCTTGGAATCCTGCCGCTGGGTTACAAAGGACATCCATTCAGGTAACCCTGAGTTGGTTTGTTGTGGATTTGATCCTTCAGCCCCTTTATACCTCCTTTTTTTTAATGGGAATGAGGGACTGGCCCCCTACCAACCATCCCCTGTCCCTGGAGAATCCCATTGGTTTCGGCCCCCAGTTCCCTCTCCGCGCGTCTCAGGTGCCTGGCCGCGGGCCGCGGCCGTCTTCGAGCGGCTGCCGTCGGCCTCGCTGTCTGCGGACGAGGCCACCTGGAGCGGCCTCGCGGCGGCCTGCGGGCGCCTGGGGGTCGCAGGGTCGCGGGGTCGCGCGGGGGAGCTTTGTTTGCCCATGAAGCCCGGAGGCTCACCCGACTTTACCAAACAGGGGACAAATTGGGCGTGTGGTGGTCCTTGCTTTTCTTTTTCTTTCTTTTTTTGGGCTCCTCTCGGGAAGTGGCGCTGCGTCGGCGGAAAGTGAGGACATTTAAAGGCGGCTCGTCCTGAAATTACGGGGCAAACGCAAGGGCGTGCGCTGTCGAAGTGCGACAGCAAATGCACGCGGCCACAGTTCCGGGAAGCCAGGCTTCGGACAGGCTAGGGTGGTTCTACATGTCATTTCAAAGTGCGCAAGCTGGTCACGGATTTATTGTTGATCACAGGGGCCCGCATTGTCTAGCTTTTTCTGTCCCAGCTTCAAGGCACATTTCGGACGCTTTTCATGATCCACCCCAGGATATCAACCAAGTATAGTCTACAAAGGTACCAAACGCGCAGGAACATCGAAACGATCAAGCAAATGCCCAAAAAGACACGTTGTTTTGCCCGGGCAATTTTGTTGGTGGAAACATGCACCGCTCGCAATTCGATGGAGGAAGTCCGGGCTTTGGCACCTGGCCTCGCAGCTGCTGCGGCAGATGCGGAAACTGAGCCTTGAGCCGGGACCCTCGGGGCCCGTGGCCGGGAGGAAGCTGAGGGCTCAAATTTGGTTAACGGTGTCCAAAATGCGAGGGGTGCCAGGAGCTTCAAGGACTCCCATTCGAAAGTTATAAGCAAGATTGCAACTGCCAGAATTTCTTCAGGTTGAGTTCCTTCTGATCTTCATGTGGCTTCCAACAACTTGCCGGTGTTTGCGGATTGGCCAACCGAGGCGCAGCTATGTGACGGCCGCCTGCGCAGCTTCTTGCGAGGACTGGCGCTGGGCGCTTTCCGCGGCCGGCGAGGCGACGGCGCCGGAGGCGGTGCTTGCAGCGCTGGCGAGGAGCCTGCCTTTTGGGTTGCTCGGATACATTTCGACCAGTTCGCCTGATGTAGAGACCCCCCTGGTAAAACACAGGATCTTTGTGTGTATCCCCGGCTTTGGATTTTCATTCAAATTTGCCCAAGGCTCCAGAGGAACAAGTTTGACAAGCTTGACTGCCTTACTGAGTCTAATCTTCAATGTGCATTTAGCCCCCGTCAATCTACCTAGCGCAGGTAAACAGGAAGGGCGGAGGTCTGGAACGATGCCGTTCCAGCCCGCAATGCATCGGGGCCGGGGTAAACGCGAGTTTTGGGATAGATCGCGCGTGAAATTGAAGAAGAGGTCGCCCATCAGGCTTTGAAGGTATGCTGTTCCGAGATGCGGAGCTCATCCACAACTCAGACACGGCATATACAAATGCATTTCAACAGGCTCGCACACGTATACATACGTATGGGTGTGGATATACACATACGCCACACAGTCACATGCTCATACACATGCATATGCATTCATACAGGCAGTATTTAAAGATATCCACATGTATACACACGCACGCACGCACGCACGCACGCACCCACACACACACACACGCGCACACGCGCACACGCGCACACGCGCACACGCACACACGCACACACGCACACACGCACACACGCACACACGCACACACGCACACACGCACACACGCACACCACGCACACACGCACCCACACACGCACACACGCACACACGCACACACGCACACACGCACACGCGCACACACGCACACGCACACGCGCACACACGCACACACGCACACACGCACACACGCACACACGCACACACGCACACACGCACACACGCACACACGCACACACGCACACACGCACACACGCACACACGCACACACGCACACACGCACACACGCACACACGCACACACGCACACACGCACACACGCACACCGCACACCGCACACGCGCACACCGCACACGCACACCGCACACGCGCACACACGCGCACGCGCGCACGCGCGCACGCGCGCGCACGCGCGCACGCGCGCGCGCGCACGCGCGCGCGCGCGCGCACGCGCACGCACGCGCACGCGCACGCGCACGCGCACGCGCGCGCACGCGCACGCACGCACGCGCACGCGCACGCACACGCACACGCACACGCACACGCACGCACACGCACACGCACACCCACACCCACACCCGCACGCGCACGCGCACGCGCACGGGCACCCGCACCCGCACGCGCACGCGCACGCGCACGCGCACGAGCACGCACACGCACACGCACATGTACACGCAAGGCACACACACATCCATCCATCCATACATGCCATACCATAAAGTACCATGGCATGCTATTTTGATATCTTCTTGCCTGCTCCTTGTGGGTATGGACGCATCTCTCGTGCTATGCGTCGCTAGGAGCAGCCGCTGGAGCCGGGCGTTGCAGGTCACTTCGAGGGAAGGCCCATTGAGCGCAGGCGGGTTGCAGAGGGTCCGGAAGATGGGGCCCTGCGAAGGGCGACCAGGCGGTTGAGAAGCTATCCCATGGGTCTCTCCGGGATTCTTGCACTGAAATGTTCATTGCAGAGGGCCAACAAACAGGATTCTAGCACTTCGTGTTGTGCAATGAAAGGTTGAAGGCCGACAATCAGCAGACCTACCCTGTAACAAGCATGCCTGAATTGCACAGACCCCGTTTTCAAACTGCTTTGCTTCTTTCAGAGGAGCCCTGCCCTGTGCACTTCCATGTCGTTGGGAGTGATCATTCTGAATTAGAGCTGCAGACACTTGGCAACTCCATCTCCGAGCCAGGTGTTTGTAGGGCTTCACGTCGCTTCACAGAGTTTGCTTTGAATGTTCTTGTGATCCTTGTGCTGACATACCGAGGTCTGTGCTAAGCGGCATGGTGAGGACTGGGGTTTGTTTGCCCAAGCGCCGGGCAATGCCGTGGCGCCGGAAACCCGAAACTTTGGGCAGTGGATCGCCTACAGCCCGACAAAGCTACCCCCACTTGTGCAATTCTACTGGGAAGGCTGATCTTGGAGGGGTCCATGCGCACATGTGTACACATAGACACCTATACCACATGTATGCACATTTTATACACCTACGGGGTGTGGAATCCGACCCCATACTACATAAAGTTCCAATTCGGCCCTTTGCGGCGTTTTCGGTCCTCTTCACTCACAGAAAGGAATGTTAACAGCCGGATTTGTGGAAGCCGAATGTTGGTTTGGTGTTGATTCGAGCACTGGTTCATCATTCTACTGTTGGTTGTGCACTTCTATTGGAAAGGCTGCATTTGCCAGGGGCAGGTGTGTTTGCCCGCATTTGCACAGATTTCCATCTACACATGTATCTAGCATGTTGGAACGCATGCTACATGTCTTTCTTCGGAAGGGTGCCAGTCCCGGTGAGGCCATGCCTTGAACCAGATTTGCCTGAACTCCCTGGTCTTTGCCTGCGGCTCCGCAGGCTTTCTCAGGGTTTGGGGTGCGCTGAGGCAACCCTTTGGACTTTGTTGGATGGCCTGGGGGTTCGGATTGGTTGAAAAGTGCGGGTTGACTCGGATGAATCGTTAATGTGGGGCACAGGATTCGCATCCAGCTGGCTCTCGGAAGCGTCCCCTTGTTTCCACCAGTTTTGACCCGGGGAGTAGCATGACTTGCATGTCACATGCCCGCAAACCGTCCCCCATCTGATATTGCTGTTCCGGTTTCACTGAGGTGCATTGTGAGACTCGAAGAAGGCGAGAGAACATCTACAGGAAGGGCTGTCGAATTTCCTGTGGCGGGTTTCTTAGGTCCTGTGTTTTGGCGTTTGGATGTATGTGTCCGGCTTTCACACCCAAAAGCCCAGACTTGGTACTCGTAGCAGCTAGCTGGGCTCCTTTCCAAGGGAAGCCAAGAAAGTGGCAACGGCAACGCCAGCCCCAACGAAGCCACCATCCACCCCACAAGAGACATGAACAAAGTAAACGAACATCGCAAGCAGCATAAGCAAATGCGAGGCAACAACAAAAGCAGACCTTCCCCTTTGACCAAAAGAAGCCACAACGCAAAAATAAAGACAACAGCAGCAAACGCCACTGACAAAGCATTGAAGCAACCACATCAAGGCGTTTTCGCCTGGGATTTGGTCGGTCGGATGAACTCCGGCTGCCAAAAGTGGGGCGCATTTCTGAATAGCGAAAGACTATGAGGGTTTATTCGGGATCGTTAGGCCATCCAAAGTCAGGCCGGGCTGGCTGGGGAGAGTCGGCTTTCGCTTAGGTCGCTGGCAGCTGGCCACCAGCCTCAGTCCTTTGGACCAGGTGGGTGCCAGCGCGGCCATCGGGGCGACCAACTGCCCCTGGCAGGCGCGGAAGCGCCCGGGCGGTCGGGACGGTTGCCGGCCAGACGGCCCCTTCTTTGAAAGGTTTAGAGTTTGGGGCTCATGACAGATCCCAAAGGTTAACTTTTAGGAAGGGATCAACGAACCACTGAGTCACGTGGGTGTTAGAAAGCAACCAGCTTTGGAAAGCTGAGCTGACCATTCTTGATGGTTTGCATTCGGCCAGTAACCACCGGACTATTCTTATAGTTGTACCTTGAGCAAAACATGAAACGCGCCCCTGTTGTTTTTTTGGCTGTTTGCGTCGTGAGCAGCTACCTTCTGTATGCCTAGTTTTGCTTTCCTGTAATCTATATCCAGCATATGTTGGGGGGTGCCAAGCACTAACAGTTAAATAAAGCCATTTATGCATAATACCTCAGCAAAAATGACCACCAGCAAGCCCAAATTGGTTTTGGGTAGGCACGCCCCACCAATTTTAGGTTGCGTATTTGTTTGGTCTATATGATGATGCAGTGGAGAGTAGAGTGGTGTCCTTTCATGCCCAGGTCCAAATACGGTTCTATCCCTACTGGTTTCTAGTGCTGCGCTTTTGGGGTTGTCACTGGACTGTAAGTGCATTAGGATTTGGGAGACCTAGGAAAAGTTGAAAGCTGATTCAGGAGTCGTAAACATAGACAGAGACATAGACATAGCATAAACATATATCGCAAATAAACATTGGCCTAGACAGCAACTATCACTACCACTTTTCCGCCGTCGCTGCAAGTTGAATGCAAGTCGCTAACGCTAACACCAAGTTCTGACATCTTGATCTGACAGAGGGCGAAATCCAAAGCAGGCAGGAAGTGGCGCAGTCAGCGCGGAGCTGGCCGCTTCGCCCAGAAACACGTTGGAGCGTCTTTTCTTTCAGCTTCTTCCGTTTGTGGGCCTGGTGGAGGAGCCCAAGGTTTTTGAAAGACAGGTTCAGGGCCAGGGGGCCACTGCCACGTTTCCCCTTGCGACCTAGACAGCTGTTTGCAGGCCAGTCTGCTGGCTGGCAGCCTGGCCGAGCTGGCACTGACTCCGGCCGGCCCCCGCACTTCTGGTTAATTTCGGCAAATTTTCGGACGGATTTTCCAGAGGAAAGCGTAAAACTAGCACAAGAAAAAGCACAAGAAAAAGCACAAAAAAACAGCACAAGAAAAAGCACACAAAAAAGCACCGCAATTCACAAATTGCCCTTTAGAGGGACCCCGCTACTACTTTTCATCACGGGAAACCACCAGCGGGAGCACACAAAAAAGCACCGCTAAACCCACAAGAAAAAGCACAAAAAAAAAGCACAATCGGGAGCACAAAAAAAGAACCACAAAACCCCAATTACCACCCGCCCGGACCCCGCTACTACTTTTCATCACGGGAAACCACCAGCGGGAGCACAAAAACAAGCAGCACGGAACCCACAAGAAAAAGCACAAGGGACCCAACTACCACCCGCCCGCACCCCGCTACTACTTTTCATTACGGGAAACCACCAGCGGGAGCACAAAAAAAAACCACCACGGAGCCCACAAGAAAAAGCACAAAGGACCACCGCAAAACTCCAATTAGAGCACAGTAAAAAGCACCGCAAAACTTGGCCGGCGGGCCGGTTTTTCAAAATTACTTTCCCTTCAGACCGCGAAATTCAAATTACTTGCCCCAGGACCCCCCCCCCCAGGCCTCCCCCGGACACCTTAAAAATTAAAAAATTGCGTTAGTGCGTGAGTGCTCGGAGGTTGACTGGGAGGGGGTGTTGTGGGAAGCAGCAGCGACCAAGCCAAACAGAAAGGAAGGACGGAAAGGTAATGTTGCAACGGCCACGCTAGCCGTCGTGTTGCGTGTGCCTATTTAACTTTCCCATTGTATCTGGGCTAACAAGTCATAGTGCAAATAGTCTTTGAATCACTTTATTTCAAGGTCCCCGGAGCTATCCCCCAAGATGCAGAACGAGTAATTTAGGTTTCAGACCTGCACGGGTACCCAATTTTAAAAAAGAGCAAAGTTGCTTGCTTTTTGTGGTGCTTTTTGTTGTGCTCCTATTTGTGCTCACTGTTCATTAGTGGTCCGGGACCACCCCCAAAGCATATGTTAGACATTGTTCCTAGGTATGCTAGAGAAGATGTTAAGCAATCTAGCATTTAATGTTGGCGCTTGATTTTTTTAAAAAAAAGGGGCCGCCCCCCGAGCAATGGAGGCGAACAAATTGTGGGGACACCCAAACGATGGAGGATCTGCCAATACCACTTTAGGGTAGCAATCACTTCTTCCTGAGCAGGCTTTTTGGAGTACTACCTTACTCTAGCAACACTACTTCCTGAGCAGACTTGTTGGAATACTGCCTGAGTACTGCCTGAGTATAGCAACCACTTGCACCTGAGCAGACGTTTTGGAAGTACCTTAGCCTAGCAAACCACATCTTCCTGAGCAGATTTTTGGAATACTACTTTGGTCTTGCAACTACTTCTTCCTGTTCCGCGCCCCAAAACCGCAGCTGGCGCCTTGTGCCGCAGAGCTGCAGCAGCAGCTTTTTCAGCCCATGGCCGGCGCTGCAGCGCGGGGCCCTTCTACTAGCACACCCGCAGCCGCAGCAGCCGGACTTGGATTCGCATTTCAGCTGGCGTCCTTGGCAGATGCAACGGGGGCCTGCCAGTGTGCCGCAGCTTCAGCAGGCAGCTGCGTCCTGCCAGTCCTCCTGCGCAGCAGCGCATCCTGCCAGTCCTCCTGCGCAGCAGCGCATGGGCTAGCATGAAAGCATGCCATGTGCCAGTTTTGCTGCACTGCGGCCTGTTGGCGCCCGCACAGTACCGCGCGCTTTTGACTCCTCCGAGGCGGAAAAGTGTCGGTCGGCCACGGTGCCTACACAGATGTTTGCCGTGACTGGCTGAAGGCAAGGCTGACTTGCTATTGCGTGCTGGGCGGAAGAGCGTTGATGGAACGGCTCCCGTCTTGAGTGTGGCCTGTCCCTGCGGCTAAAGGATGCAGAAGTGGCTTCAGCTTGTTTCAGGTTGCCACTTGGCCTTCTTAATTCCTTCATGGAGTTTGAGCACTTTGTTGAGGACCAAGACGTGCAGGAGACCGAGTTGCAGGACGACATAGGTCGAGTTTCTGACTGTGTTGAGCAAGGTGTTTCCAAGAGATGCAGAGGAGGTTCCTTCAGCGCAGAAGCACATTCAGCAGTTCGCTGTGGAGAAGAAACAGCAGAAGGACTTTGGAAAGCTTGGAGACCATATTTGGGTTCCACGTGTCTGCTCTTAGGAGAGTTCAATCTTTGGGTGGTGTGGGTGGGTGGGCGGGCTAAGATGGCCGCGGAGCCGCGCCGGACGTGCAGGCGCGAGCGTGCGAGGTGTGGCTGAGAAGGCTGCTTGGGCTCTCCGCGAGCGCTTGCGCACGATGCCCTGTGTCGAGCACAAGAGATCTACGAGGAGCGGGTTGCTGAGGACTGGCCAGAGTCCGGCGCAGGTTCTTTCCGGCGCAAGCACAGCGGCTGGAGGCGGAAGAGCGACGTGTTCGGCGCTGCCGACGTGGTGGCTTTGGAAGCCTGGTGCAAGTTGGGTTGCTGGGCGGTTTGTGCGGCCTGCGGCAGCCTGGAGCCCCGCCGCGAGCCGCTTCGACAACGATTCGGTGCTGCAGCTGTTGCCGCGCAGGGGTGCCTGGAAGGGCCAATTGACTTTTCTAAGTGGAATTAGCAGAATTTGGCATGGCCCAAACTTGTTTTGGGTGATTGTTTGTGCCTCTTTCAACTATGTCTTTGAAATGTTGTTAATTTTCATCAGAAAACCAAAGATGAAAGAGTGGACGCTATTCCGGTCCACTTAATCATGACAGGGAGCTAGAACAAGAAAAAGTGGGGCAATTCTATCCCACTTTACTACCCAAGTGCCAACATTGCCTAGCCTGTCCCTAGCTTAGATCCACAATTGCTAGATTGAACGCTTCAATTTTATTGCAGAGAACATCTATCACACGTTTTCTAGTTGTTGCCAAGCTTATAGCTCTAACATGCGTCTAGCATCGATCACTTCCCGCAATGGCCAGTGTTGTTTGGTGGGCTGTGGCTGGTTCACTTGCAACTTCTCGAACTTTCACCATGCACAGAAGATAAATTTGCAACACACGTTGGATTGCTTGGCTTGCGCAGTCTGGACACTTGGCTTTTGGTCACACCCCAGACGCGCCCGCCAGGTCTCGTTGCAACTACTTGGGCTCACCACGCCGGATGTGGTTTGCCCCGTGTCTTTCAGGGCTTCTGCGTGCTGTTGGCCAAGGGTTTTAGATGGACAGGTTGTCGAAACCGGGTTTTGCAATTTTGGTTCTACATGGTGGTTGTCCTGTAGTAGTGGTGAGAGGATTGATTGTGCCGCCTTCTGCGGGGGTGCCGAAAAGGCCACCTAATCTTGACACCCCCCTTGTTTTCATTTCGGAAAGTCAGAAATGTGGTCATGGAAAATTAAACATCTCCAAATAGGTTAGGCCCCGTTCAAAACCCTTTCAAGTGCGCTTCGAAAGGGTAGTCTACCTACTACCATGACCCCTTTCGCCAAGAGGCCCAAGTGAGCTGTAGAACCGAGAGTTGTCACACGCCCGAGAAGGAGGAGTCCGGAGTGATTCAAGGCACACAGGCGCAGGGCAGTGAAAGCGTTTTTGTTGAGTGCGTTTGGCCAAAGCGTCCTGAACCGATTCTGGCGAGAAGAGGCATTCGGAAACGTGCAGGTACTCTGCAGGCAAGTGCCCCATATCCTAAGCCTGTTGTGGGTCTCAACAAGGTACCTCGGGTAATGCAACAACTTCATCTTTGTTTTTTTGGTCCTCGTCCATCGTGTCTGCAAGCTCAGTTGACGTGCCGACAAGCTCGGAAATCATCTGTTTTTGGCTTGAAGATGGCAATCTTCCAAAAGTTTCTCGTCAGCTACGGTGGCGTTAGAGGAGGGAGGTATCCCCAGTTCAGTTGTTCAGTGGAACATCGGTGTTCCCTCTTGATCCTAGCTGGTGTCCACAAAAGCAGCCACAAAGCGCCGTTGCCCCATGGAAAGCCGGAGAAGCGCCGCCCATTGGACTCCCTGACCCCCAGCTGCTGTTGGATTGCATAATACCTTCCCTTAAGTTGGGTGGGTTCCCTTGAGCATCAGCCGGGAGTTCCCTCACAAACAAAAAGAAGCAACCCAAAACACTTTTTTGGGGGCACGGGGCACATGTTTGACACAGGCAGCATGCCAGAAGCATCATACTGTGGGTGGACGAAATCTTGCAGCACCCAAGAAACCCTGCAATGTTGACGGCCCTGTAAATACCAATGAACAATGGTTTTTCATGGTTTCAAACTGGCCCAGGATTCCACAAAAGCTCTGAGGCTTCAGCGCAGCCATCTCCTCCTGCGCGCGGGCGATCCGCAGATTTGCGGAGAGGCGAACACGAGCTTTTCGGATATGGCTGGCGTTTGATATCACATGAGTATGGCTCAAAATGAAGCAGCTAGGGCAAACCGCAGGTTTTAATCTTTGTTTCCATTTCTTAATTTATGGTGTCATTTTGGATTCCATTTCTTTCAGCCACAGCAATTTAAGGGGCTTCGAATCGAACCAAGCAGGGGGTGACAGAGGTGGGATACCCGTAAACGTCCCTCAGTACCGAGGAGGATGTTTGGTGTGCCCGAATCGCCCCGGAGAGAGTTTTGGGAGGTGTCACTTCGGATATGCCTACAGATCGCGCATGGGGCCCTCAGACCTTTTGGAAACAACTCTTCTCCAACCTGTGGGAAGCGAAACCGCAACCCAGTCAGGCAGGCTAAGATTGTTGGCTTCCATGGGTCAAACTCAGGATGGGCATTGTCTCTAAGCGGGGGTCCTTCTGGAAATCAACAGGGGGTTCCAAAAGCAACGCACACCCATCGCCCAAACACCTCATGTCGAAACAGCTCTAAGCCGCTATCTGAGAACCCCATGTTTGGATGCTTAGATTTGTTCAATGGCACCTTTGGTTGTTCAGCGCCCCTTTTCCTTTTGGCTTGGTGGGTTACCCCTCTGAAAAGGATCAACCCCAACAAAGGCTTCACTCCAAAGGTTTTAAATGGCCGGGGTCAGAATAAAGGGACCCAGAATAAGTCGGCGTTCCTTTTGGTTTCCCTTTAAACCGGCCTGAGGAGGTTGCCATCAACAAGCACTCCTTATGAGGTTCGTTCAAACCTTTCGTTTGAGAGTCTTACCTCACGCAACCCAGGGACATGAACGTTCTGTGTCCTTTCCGGTGCCCGCATATTTGCTCACGAGTAAGACGACCCGCCCAATGATGATTCCAGACCACTCCGTTTGGCCGCAGGCCTTACGGCGGCTCCCCTGCGCGTCCTGACGCAGTGAAAAAGTCGGCGCGTTGCCCGTTCGCCGGTCCCTTGCCCTGGGCCGGCCCACGGGGAGGGGGAGGTGAGCTCATTTCCGAAGATCCAACCCACATTTCTACCCCCCGCCTTTGACGACAACCGATGCCAATTGGGGAACTTTTTGGCACTTCCCGAACGCCCAAGCAACGGCATAGATACTTGATTTTTCCATTGCCCGCGCATCGCCCAGGGAAGAGACGTTGTACCTCTTGCTTGCCGTAAGAACTACCTTCATCCCACCATAGGCAGCTGAAAGATCCATTTGAGGCCATTTCAGGTTCGGGAGGTTTGTCGCCCTTTCCCTGCGCAGTTCCTGCGAGCTCTGAATGGGAGCAACGCGCCCGTGCAGCTCTGGAACTCTGCGACAAGCCGGGGACCCAGGAAGACTCAGAGCTCAACCGACAGCTTTTCAGACATGAGAACGTGATGTAGTTTTTTAGGGTTTAGCATTATTTTAATTCATTAAAAGTTAAACTTTTAGTAGGGGATCTGAGGACAGACCAGTTGCTCATTGGCATTTCACCCAAATTGTTTCGTTTTCGCAAACCCGCAACATTTGCCAGGCCCCCTTGTCTTTTGGCCTTGGAGGATTGTGTTGATCAACAAATATAGGTGATAGATGGTGATCGTGTCAGTACCCCATATGGTCTCCATACAATGAAATGCCGAGGAGCATCGACAAGGGCGCAACACAGTAGGACATAATTTGAAGCAAATGTGTTTCTTTCCATCGCCATGTTTGATTACAGCAGGATACTCCCAATCCATGATTGTCAGCACTACCGTCGTCGAACTCATTTGGATGGTGGAGTTTGGTTCGAGCCAGCTCCCGTTTTTCTCCAATGGACGCCCATCGCGACTACCTGGCGTTGGTCACGGCCTTTTACGAAGATCTCTGGAACAAGGCCGACGACGAGGCCTTGAGACGCATCCTGGCCCCGGAGGTACAGTTCAAGGGCTCCACGGAGTGCCAAGTGAGATGTGGACCGGAAGCCTTCAGAGATTACCGGAATGCCATCCGATCCACTCTGGCGAACTACACTTGCACCACGCTTGTGCTGGAAATTATGTTTTTGAGCACTAGGCGTGGTTTATGGTTGGTAAATGTTAGGGGGCTTGCCAGGAAACCAGTACTCATAGTATGACACGCATGACCGTTGTTGCAATGGCCAGTCCTTGCTGGGGGTGCGATAGTCACAATGCAATGATGCAAATAGCCTCAAGAGGCGTTTTTGGTCATTGGCGGATTACCCTTGTCATTTTGGCTGAGCAATGTTTCAAGATGATTGATTGTTCCCTTTTGTCAATGGCGCAGGGGATTGGAGCATGTGCTGCTTCCAGATGATTTCCAATGAATTGACTCACCTCCGAACTTTGGGTGAGTTCCATGGCCTTGGGAATGAAAAAGGGCACGAGAACATGTTTTTTTTTTGTTTTTGTTTTTTGTTTTTTTATAGTTGGCATGCTGACTTCCCCCGGTTTATGTTCAATCAGGTTGAACATGTTGAACAATGAAGCCAGCGAGGTACCATCCTAGATGTGACCTTCTCAACCCAATCTGTCTCTTATTCCGATGTCTTGGGCGCCTTTGCCGTGGACGCGACCACGCCACACTGCGTGGCCAGGGTGAAGTTTTCAGGGCGACACGTCGCAGCCTTCCATGTGCCGCCCTTGAATGCCTTCGAGGCCACAGGGGCCGAGCTGTCCTGGTTGGGCGTTGCCTACTTCTTCTTCAGCGGCTCACAGATCCGAGGCGTTTGGGTCATGGGTGATGTGGCAGCTATCTACGAACAGTTGAGTGCCAAGTAGAGATCAGATGTGGTAAGTTTCCCGGACGTATGCCATTCAGCTCGCTTCGGAGTGAGTGGATGCGCGTACAAGGCCCCAGGACGCTCCGCCGCAAAGAAACTGGATGTCTTGGTGGCGCTGCCAATATGATTACCATCAAGATCTTCTGAAATGCGAAGCTGGGTGCCGGCTTGAATGTGTTGCCGAAGCAAAAGGTCGGATGCCCTCAGCGCCATTTGGGCGCACGGGCTTGTCAGCTGCCCGGGTGGTGCTGACATATTGCCACTGGAAACCTGCTTGGCTGCTGAAGATCTTTTTGGAGTTGTGGTTCGGGCTGGCATGGTATGGTGCAGAAGATCTTTTTGGAGTTGTGGTTTGGGCTGGCATGGTATGGTGCAATTCGTTTCCTCTGCGAAGACAAGTCCACAACAACCCCCCTCAAGTAGTTGGTTGGCAAATTAATGATTCCCTGAGAGGTAAGCACAGTCGCGAGCCCTTTGAATTGTATAAGGCCAGGAACCCCTGGTGTGAGCCCTCGATTCGGACACCCAGATATGGCGGGCAAATGGTTGGTTTCCGTTTGACTTTCTGTTGGGCAACCTGCCAAAGGAGATCCCTTTCCAATAGCTCCGGCACGTCAAGGCGAACACCTTGAGAAAATGATGTCCCTTTGTCCCTTTGGCTTATCGAGGAGGATCCCTAAGCTTGGATGCCGTGTTTGCCAAGCAATGGAACAACTCGTGACTTTGAACCGTGAAGTGGGCTGCGGACTGGAATCAAAGCAATTTCATGGCCGGCTCCCTGGAGAGACTCCCAGTGAGAGACTACGTTCGGATTTTGAGGTCCTGGACGGCAGTAGCGAACGGCTCCACCGGTGACCTCCGACAGGCGAAATCGATCGCGAGATTCGCCACCGGTCCGGATTCGTCCATGAGAGCGCCTAGGGGTTCTTTTGTTTGGGCTGTGGGTTGTGGGAAACAGGTCTTCCATTTGCTGAAGAGTATTCTTGTCCCCCTGTTTTAATCTACTGGAAGTATGTGAGCCACGGACAAAACACGCGTAGACCACTTTATCAAGACGGGGCACGCTTTTGAGTAACACATCCCAAAACCATGGAAAACGATGAGGTCTCCCCCAAAAACGATGACCCTTAACGAACACACGGCTCTGTAAATACGACACTTGTACTGAGAAGTTGCGATTTTCGAGCTGGAGATGCGGAAGTGTACTTCGCGTACAGCCTAGGCTTGTACTACAAAGCTGCGATTTTCGAGCTGGAGCTGCGGAAGTGTTCTTCGCGTACTAGACTTGTACTACAAAGTTGCGATTTCGAGCTGGAGCTGCGGAAGTGTACTTCGCGTACTAGACTTGTACTACAAAGTTGCGATTTTCGAGCTGGAGCTGCGGAAGTGTACTTCGCGTACTAGACTTGTACTACAAAGTTGCGATTTTCGAGCTGGAGCTGCGGAAGTGTACTTCGCGTACTAGACTTGTACTACAAAGTTGCGATTTTCGAGCTGGAGCTGCGGAAGTGTACTTCGCGTACTAGACTTGTACTACAAAGTTGCGATTTTCGAGCTGGAGCTGCGGAAGTGTACTTCGCGTACTAGACTTGTACTACAAAGTTGCGATTTTCGAGCTGAGATGCGGAAGTGTACTTCGCGTACTAGACTTGTACTACAAAGTTGCGATTTTCGAGCTGGAGATGCGGAAGTGTACTTCGCGTACTAGACTTGTATTACAAAGTTGCGATTTTCGAGCTGAAGATGCGGAAGTGTACTTCGCGTACTAGACTTGTATTACAAAGTTACGATTTTCGATCTGAAGATGCGGAAGTGTACTTCGCGTACTAGACTTGTACTACAAAGTTGCGAATTTCGAGCTGGAGATGCGGAAGTGTACTTCGCGTACTAGACTTGTACTACAAAGTTGCGATTTTCGAGCTGGAGCTGCGGAAGTGTACTTCGCGTACTAGACTTGTACTACAAAGTTGCGATTTTCGAGCTGGAGATGCGGAAGTGTACTTCGCGTACTAGACTTGTACTACAAAGTTGCGATTTTCGAGCTGGAGTGCGGAAGTGCGCGTACTAAATGACTTCGCGATTTTCGGCTGGAGCTGGGTGTACTTCGCGTACTAGACTTGTACTACAAAGTTGCGATTTTCGAGCTGGAGCTGCGGAAGTGTACTTCGCGTACTAGACTTGTACTACAAAGTTGCGATTTTCGAGCTGGAGCTGCGGAAGTGTACTTCGCGTACTAGACTTGTACTACAAAGTTGCGATTTTCGAGCTGGAGATGCGGAAGTGTACTTCGCGTACTAGACTTGTACTACAAAGTTGCGATTTTCGAGCTGGAGATGCGGAAGTGTACTTCGCGTACTAGACTTGTACTACAAAGTTGCGATTTTCGAGCTGCGATTTTCGAGAAGTGGAGCTTGCGCGTACTAGACTTGTACGTACTTGTTACTACGATGCTGAAGACTTGCGGAAGTGTACTTCGTGTACTAGACTTGTACTACAAAGCGTTAGACTTTACTAGACTTGTATTACAAAGTTGCGATTTTCGAGCTGGAGCTGCGGAAGTGTACTTCGCGTACTAGACTTGTACTACAAAGTTGCGATTTTCGAGCTGGAGATGCGGAAGTGTACTTCGCGTACTAGACTTGTACTACAAAGTTGCGATTTTCGAGCTGGAGCTGCGGAAGTGTACTTCGCGTACTAGACTTGTACTACAAAGTTGCGATTTTCGAGCTGGAGCTGCGGAAGTGTACTTCGCGTACTAGACTTGTACTACAAAGTTGCGATTTTCGAGCTGGAGATGCGGAAGTGTACTTCGCGTACTAGACTTGTACTACAAAGTTGCGATTTTCGAGCTGGAGCTGCGGAAGTGTACTTCGCGTACTAGACTTGTACTACAAAGTTGCGATTTTCGAGCTGGAGATGCGGAAGTGTACTTCGCGTACTAGACTTGTACTACAAAGTTGCGATTTTCGAGCTGGAGCTGCGGAAGTGTACTTCGCGTACTAGACTTGTACTACAAAGTTGCGATTTTCGAGCTGGAGATGCGGAAGTGTACTTCGCGTACTAGACTTGTACTACAAAGTTGCGATTTTCGAGCTGGAGCTGCGGAAGTGTACTTCGCGTACTAGACTTGTACTACAAAGTTACGATTTTCGAGCTGAAGATGCGGAAGTGTACTTCGTGTACTAGACTTGTACTACAAAGTTGCGATGATCGAGCTGGAGATGCGGAAGTGTACTTCGCGTACTAGACTTGTACTACAAAGTTGCGATTTTCGAGCTGGAGCTGCGGAAGTGTACTTCGCGTACTAGACTTGTACTACAAAGTTGCGATTTTCGAGCTGGAGCTGCGGAAGTGTACTTCGCGTACTAGACTTGTACTACAAAGTTGCGATTTTCGAGCTGGAGATGCGGAAGTGTACTTCGCGTACTAGACTTGTACTACGAAGTTGCGATTTTCGAGCTGGAGCTGCGGAAGTGTACTTCGCGTACTAGACTTGCACGACAAAGTTGTGATTTTTGAGCTGGAGATGCGGAAGTGTACTTCGCGTACTAGACTTGTACTGCACAGTTGCGATTTTCGAGCTGGAGATGCGGAAGTGTACTTCGCGTATTAGACTTGTACTGCCTGCCAAGTTTCGCTTTTCGAGCTGGAGCTGCGGAATTGTATTTCGCAATTTTCGGGCTGGAGCTGCGGAAGTGTACTTCGCGTACTAGACTTGTACTACAAAGTTGCGAATTTCGAGCTGGAGCTGCGGAAGTGTACTTCGCGTACTAGACTTGTGCTAGAAAGTTGCGATTTTGGAGCCGGATCTGCCAAAGTTCGAAAACACTGTAAAACGATGAGGTCTCCCCCAAAAACGATGACGTTAAAAAAAGTACTAAGGCCAAGTAAAGGGTTTCGTCCGCTCCTCATGTGTTTTTTGGCCGGGGGACTTGAGCAAATGGATGAGGGTGCCCTGAAACCGGATTTAGCAGGTATCGGTTCTGGAGGTATGGAGGTGCACCCACATACTGCCTTACAAGCTTCTAGTGGTGCAAGCGATGAACGAGGAATGCAAGCCGTACCGCGAAAGTCTCCAGGAAGCTTAGGGCTTCCCCCTCTCTACCGCCCCCCGCCCCGCCTTGGTCGGGAACGAGCCGAAGCCCTTGGTCTTTGACCGTTGCAAGCCCGGCATCTAAGCAAAGCTTGGAGAGCCGCACATCCAAAAGACGGCTCCTGAATGGGAGTTTCTCTCTAACTTGCCACCTTACGGGGATGTCTGAGTTGATGTGATCATAAGATGCGCTTTTGGGGTCCTTTGCAGGGTGCAGGTGCTCCATCAGCGCGTGGTTTCCCTTTTTGCCTTGCCTCGCAGGCAACGCGGTACGCGGTGAACGCCTGGGGCGGTGTTTTGATGAGGGGTCACGACTGCTGCGTGCTGCCAGGGCCACAGGGCCACAGGGCCACGTGGCCAGGGCTCTGCACTTGGGGAACGGCCCCTCTTTGGTTGGCAATTGAGGGGAAAAAAGGAAACTCCTTGGAAGGACACCGAGCAGTTCTAGTCAGAAGAGAAGGACTTGCAAGCCAAGGCTCTCGTTTGTTGTAGGAGTGGAATCCCCGGTTTAGAGCTCCGTGAGAATCTAAAGAGGGGGAGCATTCGTTTATTTTCCAGGCTGTTCAAAGGCAATCCTCTCAAGATCCTTCAGACCCTTGGCAGCGATTGTCCCCGGATTGCTAGTTTTGATTGGCCAGCCCGCCATTTTGAGCTGCCCAGATGTTGTTTTGCAGCTTGTGAACGAAGGCTGGCCATTTGGTTTGATTTGGCGATCGCGAGGCTCGCTGCGCCATACTGCTACGCGCAGAAGACAGACATCTTCGACTTTGCCATCCCGGTACTTGTGCTGTTCTTTGTGCCGCTGGCATGGGCATAAAACTTTGGCTGTAGGCGTGAGACTTGAAAGGCGTTTGGGTGCCCTTTCCGCTTCCCTCACTCAACAAGAACGCGAGCCGTTTCCCATGGCCACGGTCATTTGTGGAATTTGAACATCAAAACGCAGGGTTGGGAGAGAGAGAGAGAGTGAGAGAGAGAGAGAGAGGGGGCTGACATGTCCGGTTGACCAATTTGGATTCAACCTTGTAAGTCCGCTGGCCGCAAAGGTCAATGCATTGTCAGTTGCCCTCGAAAACAGGGTGCGAATAATAGCTTCGCTCGGCCAGATCTTGTTATTCCTGTGCGTGTCTAGCAAGTGCAGACCTTAGCCTATGACTTGTCGAGAGCCGTGGTCTGGGGAGTTTTGAGTCGAGGGACGCAAGTTTGACGTGCTCCACTTCGATCCACAGAGCACTCAGAGCGTGTATCTGAAAAAAGCAACAGGTGCAATGTTGAAGTGCGGCATTCCACCTCTTCGCTGGACTGGTCAATGTATGCACGCTCCCTTCATTTGAAGGCTCAGCGCTCCGCACATGTCGATAAGTCAAAAAAGTGTTTCTTTGGGCCAAATTCTTGCAGTGGATCGAAGCCAATAGGACTGATACCTTCCTGAGTGCAGGTCCGTGGTTTGAGTCGTGCCGGCATTTGAGGGAGGCCCTTCACCGGGCCGGCATTGCCAGCCGGCTGGGTCCAGAGCGAGGCTGATTCCCAAGATTGGCCTATTCAGCCATTCCTAGTAGCCGACGGGATGAGTACACGTTGGCTTGGAGGAAATCCGAGCAAGCTGCCAACATGCAGAATTGAGCCAGAGGTTTCAAGTGAATCGTGTGAATTTACCTCCTCATGCGCTTTGAATCGCAGCCGTCCTACGCGACAAAGTGGTGGGGATGGGCCACTTTAGTGTCACCAAAATTATGACTTTTGGCAACCATGCTGGTAGGGGTGGCTGGGCATGAACACGCCGCCAAACTGGTTTGGTCGCAGCTGGGCAATTGTCTGGGCTTAAGGATTTAAGCTGGAAACCGATTGGCGGCCAACTTCAGCTTCACAAGAAAGCATTGTGCGGTTTTTGCCGCGTGGATAAAGGGGTCCCCTGAATGACTTACATCTTTGGGCTACAGACGCTTGAATGAAAGCGCTACCCTGAAGTTCGGCCACACATCAAGGATTTGTCCGCCCTTTCCCCGGGTAAAGCCTATGCCTAGCGCGGGTCGCCTTTAGGTCCTGTGCTTTGTGGCTGAAGCAGCTGGGGAAGAAGGTCCCGGAGGAGTGCGGAGCCCAGCATCCATTTCCTGCCTGCCTGGGTACATCTTGGGGCAACGGACGCAAACTGAGCGGGTGAAACTTTTTTTTGTTGGGACGCTCTTCCAAGCTTTTCTTTGGATGCTCTTCCTCGCCGCAATCCTTGCTTCTCTTTTTAAACTTGGAATCGTTCAACCTGACAGTGCACTCACAGGGTTCAGGCTTGGAACCATTGGCACATGGGATTCATGCCACATGTGTTTGGTATACAAAGAACGATCAACTTCCGCGAGCCAAGAAAGGTGACCGATTTGGATCCCACGACCTTCCAGAGCAATCCACAGGACCAACCTGGAGTCCCAACCAGCTTAGGTCGTTGAAATACGTTTTACCCAGAGAGGTGTGCCTAAGAGACTCGTTGAATCAACAACTACCAATGTGTTTGTTGTCGCCTTTGCCGTGCGTTATGTGAAACAATCGAGCTGTCTTCAACGTTTCAATGCCGTTGCATTTTAAGTATATAGAGTGGATGCATCTACCGATGCGCATGTGCAAACATACGACCAACATTGCGTGGATGAGCGGTATGCGCTGTCATACCTGCAAACAGGAATGCGTTGTTTTGCTTGGGCAACCTAAGCTCCCTCGGAGTGTTTGGACTGTTTGGACCTTTGGGGCTTTCGACAAGCTCACTTGCTTATTGCCAACGCGTCTTTGTTTGCGGGCAGAGGGAGTAGGGGATGATCACTCCACTCGAACCTCTCCTATTGCTTTTGTTTTGCAGCGGGCACAGGGGGCCATGAATTTGAAGAATCTGACCCTTCCTGTTGGTTGTTTCGACAGCTCGGGTGCGGCTTCAAGCAAAGTTCAGGGGGTGAATAAAGGCATATGAAGGCATATTGCACTTGGAGAAAATCCACTTAGCATCAATGATGGACAAACAGAAGCCACCCATCAACTGGTGCAGGATGTTTGTCACGCGCCGATGCGCAAGGCCCTACCACCCCAAGGAGCCCTTGGTGGCAACGCAGGGGGCTCGATCCGTTGAATTGAAATCTCCAATTCGAAACCATGAATTTTGGGGAAGCCTGGGAAAGCCCTGCCCCTGACTTGCTTCATTTTTGCTCAACAACTTTGCAGAGGGGTTGTTCTTCAGGCAATGGGAGGAGTCAGACCGGCTGAGTGGGTTGGCGCTTTTGCGTTCCCTGAGCACAGAGGCCAAGCTTTCCCAGCCATTCCCAGCCTGGAGTTCGGATACATTTTCATGGCGATCAGGTCAGCCGAGGTGCATTTTGCTTGGATGTTAGGACTTTAACTTCTTGTCAACTAATGGGCTTTCCATTGTGCGTGTGGTTTTAGCGGTACATGCAGACAAGAAGCGCACATACACAACATTCATTTGTATATGTACAAGTTAACATATATATATATATACACGGGATTATGCGGGGCACGTACCTGAAGGTTTTCTTGAGTCATTCCTGCTTAAGCTCCAACCGGCACCCCATGTGAGCAACCCTGCCTCCGGCAATCAATGTGCCGTTCGTTGGAATCTAGCTTGTCTCCCCAACTCGCAGTACTTTGTCCCGGTTGTGTCCCTTCATGGTTTAGCTCCATTTGTGAATCGGTTGAGTCCCTTTAGGGTTTGGGTTTGGCCCACGCAGTGGAAAGGCACATTATGACGGCTTCCGGAAGTTGATCAATGAGCAACATCCAAAGGTAAAAAAGTGCTACCTCAGGTCTTATCAGGTTACCCCCAAAGGCGTGTTAACCGGGGATCCCAAAGGGGGGCGGATCTTCCACAAACCCTGGGGTTGTCGGCCCATGTTAACTTGTAGCGCAATGGTCGTGAATGGTACAGCTTTGCTAAAAAACTGTGCTTCAGGCCTCAAAGTGCGCTGGACCTAGAGCACCGGCCTCAGCGACAATGTCCTCGCCAAAGTTGAGGGCCTCATTTGGCCGGTAGGTCCCGAGTTTCAGCCCTGAAGATTGCCAGAATTTGCCAGACATAACCAACCCTTCCAGCTTTCCTTCATCCTCTAGCTAACCAACCGTCAGCAGACAAGTCACTTTTTAAAGAGGGCCTAAGGCTGGCCAAGGCCAACAAATTAAATGGGCACATGGAAAGGCCACCACAGGGTCGCCCACTTGTGATTCCGTGACAGAACAAGGCAGTCACAAGGGGTTGGATGTGAATTTAGTGCGGCGCTCCTAATGTGGAGATCCCTAATATCCGACCCTGGTATGGCGCCCTAGCGGTCATTCATCATTGAAGAAATCGGCCGTAGGGGGCTGCCATGGCCATGGGACAGAACAAACTACCAGAATCAGACATATTGGATGAGAAAAGTTTGTCAGAGAAGAAGGGTTCCTCTTTGAAGATGGGAGCCCGGCTGTTTGCTCCAAAACGGTGGGAGGATGACACTAAGCGAGCTGTCGATTTGGACCAATTGGTGTCGAGCGGCTCTTTTGAGCCTTAGTATCCATGTTGCCTGACGCCCCGAGGAAAGCAAACGGGGATGGATCGGTTTTTCAGATCCATTTGGCTCGAGCTTTCCTTGCATTTGGTGTGTGTGTGTGTGTGTATTTCTTGCAAGGCTCAGGATGATCACGTTTTGGGGCCCTTGCGGGCTACACATCCGGTCCTCAAGACGATTATGTAGCCAACAAAAGCACGCTCTCGTATAGGAATGTTCCTTGGGTGCTCGGGGATTGCTCATTTCAGGCTTGTGAATGTTCATAGTTCGCACAGCATGCTCTTTTTCTTGGCTGCCTGCTACAGAAGGTAATCCTGTCAGGGGTGACTCTGCCACCTGAGGCAAAAGCTGCTGGCCATTTGGGAAGCATCATGCCTCGGCGGAAAAGGCGATCCCAATAAGGCCCTGCTGGGAGGCCAAGTGTTCAGCGGGTTGACCCCAATTTCGCTTTTTGGCTTGGGCTGAAGAAGGAGTCCATTGTGCACCAGGGTCACGGTATTGGCACCATTTTGTGAACCCCACCACGGCCTTGAAAGCACGCAACTCTGCACGCGTGAAAACACAGAAATTCCACAGGCACTGATTTATGATTGTCCACCTGCGCCGATTCATGGTCTGCTGTATTTGTTCGGAAGGGCGTTGCTGAATGTTGGCTTGGCGTTCCAGTGGTGGTGTGCTTATTATATATAGCATTTCGGTAGCTCTATGTTGTGTGGTTGTGTGTGGCGTTGTTTCGTTTAGTGTCGTTGTTTTTTTTTTTTTTTTTTTTTAATGTTCTTGTGTCTTGTTCTTTCAACGGTTGCTTTATTTCCTTGCGTGCTGGTCCTTTACTACTTGCTGCTTTATGTTTTGTTGTTGTTGTTGTTTAAAATTTATGAATGGTTTGAAATATTTAATTTGTTTGTCTCGCTTTCTTTTGTTCTTTAGTTTTGGCATTTGAATTGTTATGTGTGTGTGAGTTGGCTTGCGCGCTTGCTTCCTTGGCTTGCTTTCTTCCTTGGCTTGCTTGCTTCCCTGCTGCCTCGCTTTGCTTTGCCTCATTTGCTTACTTGCTCGTTGCTAGGCTACTGGCTTGCCTGGCTTGCTTGATTGCTTTCTCGCTTACTATCTAGCTTGTGCTTGTTTCGGGTTTTGGTGGCATTTGGCAATAGACACACGCACAAGAGACAATGTAAGTTGCTTCTTCAGTGTTTGCAGGGTTTGCGGCCCCTACTATATTTCCACTGCTCACTAATTCTCTAGATTTACAGCAGGCATGAAGGCTCTCTAATCTTTTGGTGCCTGGTTCTGATTTCCAGCAAGTTAATTCTATTGACATGATGTCCGTTGTGCCCTCTGCATTTTTGGAACCATATCAGTTCTATGAGTGTTGTCATCCATTTTTGTTGGCCTTTCCCTCGTTGCCCTTTGGCCCCGCGGGATGTTTGAGCTTTACATGAGCTCCAAGGAAGGTTTGGAGCCCTGAAACCTAAACCCTGCAACCCTATAGCCCTCAATCCTGAAAACCGAGACTTTTAAAGCGCTGAAGCTTCGAAACTCTGAGACAAACTTGCCCTGAAAGCTTCATTCTCAGCGATTTGATTCAAATCGGCCGGCCCGAGGCCCAAATCACGAGAGTGGGGCCGTGCCGCTGCAAGCCTCTTCGCCTCCATCAAGCTGGGCTTCGATTTTCAGGCGTCGTTTCTGCGGACGCATGCGGACGCCTGGGGTGTGGGGCTTTTTGTTTGTTTGTTTTGCAGGAGGGTGTTGCGTTCTCTTGTTGGGCCCCGAGAAAAGCCCACAGACTGACATGGAACCCAGTTGGCATTCCGAACCCGAGGTCCAAGGACGTGAAGACTTGCAGGGTTGTTTTTGTTTATTTTTATTTTCCCTGGAGATTTGTTCAGACCTGTGCCGGGCTCCAGAAATTGTCGGGATCTGAATTTCTCATGTCTGGTGTTTATACGTCTTGGGAGTCGGCTCTGTTTGTACGTCGGGAACTCTGCGACTTTCCGATGGGCTCCTTGGGCCCATCGCTCGGCAAGTCAGCTGCAGCTGCCGTTTGGGGTCCAGGGTTCCATGTGCAGGTTTCTGAGGCATGAAACTGGGGAGACTGGGGTATTGGGTGAAAAGTGCCACTTTTCCACAGGGAACCTCCTCAAAGTAACAAAGCCTAGTACCGTTAACTCACTACCCTGTTGAGTTGCAGGTCACGGTAGGCTATTCCCTCAGTGGAAATTTCAGGGTTCCACTGGCGGATTACAGAGGGAAGCGCGCCACATGTGAAGGATGCGCGCATCGCTGGAGCGGCACGACGAGCCTACATGTCCAACTGGCTCTGAAGTCTCATGCGGAGAACCCTGAACATCCTGAACGATTGGAAGACATGAGGTCTTATGTAAATCATGTCCGCAACAGGGTCCCCAATCATGTTCTTCGTGTGGAATTGCAACTGTGCTTGCTGTCTAGTTGTATCCCTGGCTTTGGTCGCGGCCCATCTAAGCAGCTTTAAGGGAGGCTCCGAGCTCGTGAGGGCCTTCGGCATTGACAGGCAGATAGCGTCTGCAACCAGTTTGAGCACCTCATCTCGCTGTGGAGGCCGCTTCGGGTGCCTGAAATGACTTGCTTCCTATCGGTTTGCTCAGGAGAAGGTGTCTGCAGCAAGATGGCAAACGGCAGGGGTGCTGTTGCATGAACTCACGATTTGTTGTTGCTTCTAGCCAACAGTCAAGGGGTCACCTGACTTTGTCAAGGCAGCAGTCACGCATGTAGGCCAAGACTGGGCAGTCCAAGCCTAGATGCCAACAGGGGGACAGTCGCAGGCAGAGCCGCATCAAGAAGCCCATTCCCAAAAAGTGTTTGAGCCGCATCAGAGCCGCATCAGGTTTTGAGTGTCAGTCCCAAAAAGCTGCACGCCCGCGCGCGCAAGGTCCCACGCGGCGGTGGTCACGGACCGAGCGGTGCAGGATGCCTATGTAAACCGCTGGAGGCGACCCAGGGAGCGAGCCGTTGGGATCCAAATCCCATTTCTGAGGAACGTTCGGCAACGCTTTGGCTAATTTGAGATACATGTTGGCCTCACGAAGGCTGAGAGGTTCCTAGAAGCTCGTTTCGTGAGTGGACCGATATGAAGGTTGGCCTTGACGAAAGCTTGGCGGCTCTTTGAAGTTTGGCTTGAGTGGCTTCAGGGAGTTTGCTCAAGTTTTGAGCACCTTCTACTTACAACCTTTCAGAAATGCCGGTAATTTGACAAAGTTCCGGATGACGTCCCCAAATTTCGATGCCCGCTGCCCTCCTACCCTGCATGCAATCGCATACCCCTTCTGATGTTGCCGAGTTCTTTCGCCCTATGGCATGCTTAGAGAGTCATTGAGACCATGAGAGATGCTTCTCCTGCAACACTTGTTTTGGGATACCTAAAAGATCGCTTGGCATTGGCAAGCAGCAAGTTGGGGCTGTGGATGGATTTCTTAGGGTTTTCAGAACTCTTTTTGTTGTTGTTTTGGGAGGGGGGTTGGGGGTGGGGGGGCGGTATATTCTATTACAAGGGCCATTGAATGGAGAAGTTTGAGACCCGCCTCTTGGAGGAAAGGGGAATCCTTTCCTTGTAGGGGGTTTACTAACCGTGCACTGACATTAGTTAGCTCGACTGTGAGTTCCTCTTTGCCACGCCCTATCTCTTTACGCATCCATGAGCGAACGAGCGAGGGCCTCCTTTCCGCAACTCATTTCCTCGTCCCCTACCGTCCTCTAGCTTGATTGATGGCATCAACTCCCAATGACTCGCCTAGGCGCGCGGGGGTTTCCTGCGACAGGTGGAGCTCAGGCTCTTGGAGCGAGGCGGCCACGGAGCCCACCCGCATGGACATCAACGGTACCAAGGCGCTTCCGGATGAGCTCAGTCAGCGGAGCCAAAAAAATTGACCTTTGGGGTTCCAACTCTTGGGCCCACTGCAAATTTTACCTCTCGCGGGAAAGAAAAAGGCGCCAAGATGCGACGGATTGCTGAACTCAGTTTTGGGTAACACCTGGCTGCCCGCATGCTCGGGGGGCCGAGCGGCCACACCCCTGCCCCATGGAGCTGGGCTGAGGCGTCATGCGCAGCTTTGCAACGGCAATTGCTCAACGGGCTTGTCCCTTTGTTGGACCCATGGCGCCATTCTCGAGCGACACCAAGGGAAAACCACGGTTCTGGGGCCCCGACTTTAAAACACACCCATATATGTCACTTCATTAGCACAAGACAGATGTTGATACCCTGCTGATGCTTGCCATCTTGAGAGTCTCACTTTGATAAGCCCATTTGTGAGTCCTTATTGTGGTGTAATTAAGGGGCGATTGTTGTACCATTCTCCGAGCCACCCTTTGATCCCCAGCTGAAGTTTGCAGGGGTCCCGCCATGAAGATTGGTCTCCTCTGTTTGGGGAGGGGGGAGCCCTCTTGTATATGATGTGTAAACGCAAAAGGGAAAAGGAGGAACCTTTGGGAAACCTAAGCAAAATCGGCCCGAACCGCGCGAGGCCCTGCAACGGGCTGCCGCGGACTGTGAGCCAGAGCTCTTGCAGGAAGCCTTGTTTCGGTTTTGGGCGTTGCTCAGGGCCTGAAGCCGTTTTTGGTTGAGGTTGGACATATATGTTTCTTTGGGTTCAAGTTTTGGGTAACGCATGGCAAACTGGGTACTCAAGCTCTTTACCGGTTTTTTGTTTGTGAATTTTGTTTCTTGCCTGCATTACACGCGGGAGCATCACCGCTGCCCCTCAAAAGGGGCTCCAGGGGGGCGGGGGAGAGGCACACGTGCGTTTGCCAGCGGTTGGCTTGAGCCACGGTGGCCGAAAGAAGTGTAGATTTTCGCATGGAGGCGCCCCACTTAACACACGAAGGATGGTCCGGGTTCATTCCCCTGGAGCTATGCTCCCGACCCAAAAGAACAGGACCCCGCCTCCTTTTTGGGGAAGTATCAGTTCTTAAGCTTCTGGGTGACATCCTCACCAAGAACTTGCACCGAAAGGGGGCAAACGGACCACCTGGTTGTTTTTGGCAGCGCAGGACGCGCTGGAGGACTTGCATAGGGACCTTCTGGAGGGCCTGCACCAGTGGAGAGCCAGGTGCGGGGTGGGCCTTCGGGGTCTTTAGGTCTGTGGACTTGACCAGTTTGGGGTCGCACCGGAAACCAAAAGGACACCCTCCATTTTCTGGGAACCATCTTGCAGACAAAGCCCGGTGAGGCTGGCAACCAACCTGAGGGAAGCTTCAGGACACCCCAGCCATTGAACCAAAGCTTGCACCCCCTGTCATGGCTGCCTGCTCTCAGCGAGTTTTTGTTTGCGGCTGGCTATGTGGTGCTGCGTGACGCTATAAACACCACCACCAGCCTGAGACAAGAGTTGAGGCAACGTTGTCTAAACGCATGATGGTGCTTCGCAATAGAAACGTGACAGTCATATGCTGCATGATTGTTCTTGTGCACGGCCAGTATCCATTTGGACAGCAATATGACGTCGCATGACCATGCAATAATGCATGCCAAGACTTAGGCTTTGGAAGAAGAAGCAGCAATGCGTCACGTTTGCAGCGCCTGGAGAAAACTACAGCATGCAATTGCATGCCTACCATAGTGTCACGCACAATTCCGAAGGCAACTGCAAACAACAAACATACACCAATGCCTGGCCCGTGCATGGACAAGGATAACGCCATTTGAGCACTCATCTTCCGCAACATGCATGGTAGCACTGGCGGTAGCAGTAGCCGTGCGTGCTTGCGTGCACGCGCGTGTGTGTGTGTGTGTGCGCATGAGCGCGCACATGGTTGAAGACGCAACTGACCCGCCCTGCCCCGCCCCGCCCCGCCCCACCTCCGCCCTCTCCTTCGCCAGCGCGACGGTATTCACGCACGCACGCGTGCCATGTCCTGCCTCTTGCCTCTGGCCATCTCTCAAAGCTCCATAGGCTGTTGCGCCAGTCATGTTCTGTCCTAACCTGGTGCTTTGAACAATATTTGCAAACATGCATCAGCTATTTCGATTACAATCCTCGGCTCTCGGACGATCTCGAACACCTCTAACAGCAACACCGGAAGCGGAACCAAGAAAGGTCATGGCCGGGAGACCTGAGCCGATACGCCTCTTGGCATGAGGATGTCCGTGCAAGTCCCTGGCTGCACGCGCTTGGCCTGCATGTTCGGATGTGTTGCGCATTTCGTCCCAACTGTCCCTTTGCAAAGCAAACCGCCCTTTTGACTTCCGGATTGCCAGTTGTTTCATGCCGGTCATGGCGACGCAAGTGGTGAAAGTAGATGGCACGACTCCCCCATGTGGGGCACCAGAAATCCCCTGCACTTATATCCACATCTACCGGGAATTGTGCCATTGACTTTTCCTTGGATGGCTGTTCCTTCCGAAGTTTGGACAAGTGGGGATTTTGAATGTTGGCGAGCCGACAGCCTCCGCAGGCTGTCGGCATACCCGGAGCTGGAGGTGCGCTGGGAAGAACGCCGTATGCTAGGTGGTTAAGTAGGCCAACGTGGAGCTTTTGGTTGGCTGTGTGCTGAGTGATTTGTTGAGTGTTTTTTTTTTGGTCGAAAGCTTTTGGTTGGCTGTTTGTTTAGTGCATTTTTTGGCAAAGGCGCCACAAATGGCTGGTTTTGGCCAACAATCTCAGTACGTCAGTAGGTTGGTGGACTGCATGAATGTATTGCGCCTGAGACGCCTTTAATCCCACCAATTGTCAACTTCTAATGAATCCGGACCAGAATCAGGGATTTTGAATTCTCACATTGTGGTTCTCTGCACAATGAAGTTGAAGTAGCTGACATTTTCCAGCTAGGTCCCCTATGAAGAGCTACACAGGGCAAATTGCAAAGCAGTGAGACGCTTTCAGTCCAAGCTAGAGGATCCAGCTCTATCTCGCATGGGCGGTTTTATCAACAGCCATGTTAATGAAGATGTGGTCATTTTTGTTGGCGTCGTGTTGAACATGGACACGAAAGTTACAAGTCGGCGGTGGTGGCAAGCAGTGCTTCACAGCAAGACCCCCAACGCAGGCTGTCCAACTCCTTTCAAAGAAGACAGAAAATGCAGATGAAATAATGGCCTGGAGGTTTTTCAGGTCATGTCATGCTGGCCGAACCCTGGTGATTACAGATGCTGAGAAACTGCTGCATCGCACTTCAAGCATTCGCATTTTGTTGTCACTTGTTACCACCGCTGTGAGAAACTGCTGCGTCGCACTTCAAGCATTCTCAAGCATTTCGTTGTCACTTGTTGCCACCGCTGTTCGAAGCATTCCCTGGTGTCCCTGATTTGTTGGTTGATCTGTGGCTGAATCTTTTCCAGAACCGCGCGTCACTACTAGTCTTGGGCATTTGGGTCGATTTGCCCCATCCGAGTTCGGCCGGTCCTAAGGGTTGCTTCATTCTGCAACTTTCGGAGAAGGGTGGAATCCCCGTTCGTGTCCAAAATGAGCTTCCACCACTTCGTTTAGGCTCCTTAACAAATGTGCGAGGCAGCTGTTTGGGGCAAGAGGCTGGTCAAAGACTGGCCAAGGCGCCCTATGCTGGTGTCAGGACAGCCAGGATTTCCTGTCCTTCCTGAACTTGTGTACGCGGATGTTATGTGCGAAAATCGAAAACCAGAGAGACGGAGCCAACGGGGTGTGTTCTCCTGGACCACGGAAAGCGGCCCGGCATGAATCTATGAACGCTGGGTTTTCGCTCAAGATGGCTTTCAGGTAGCCTAGCGGCCAAGAATCTGGGACGTTTAGACTGAACCAGCCACGTGAATAGCTTAAAAATTTCGACGTATCAACGCTCCAACGCGGGGCTTTCTGCTGTCCACCGGGTCGGTGTCAAACAGCGCCTTTTGGAAAGGCCAATCAAGATCGGATGTCCGATGACTTGCTGTAGTTTGCAATGTGATGTATTTATCAACCATGTTAAACCCCAATGCATGAATGTCTCACTTGTGCAGTCTCATCATTACGACTGCATATGGCTCAAGAAAAAGCGCGCTGTGTACAGGGTTCATTTGTGACCCTTCCCGGTTGTTTAACCTGTTCTATAGGTTATCAGCCGTAAGCGGCTCTTTGTACAGAGTTGTACGCCATGGATGGCGACCCTGGACTACCCCATACCGAGGTGCGTCCCACACCTGATGAGCCCGCAGGCGATGAAGACGCCTCGCAATATGAACCGACTAGTCGAGCAAACTCCCAAGTGGCCAGGGAGCTCATCAGGAAGGGACAAGCACTGAGCAGTCAGGGCCCCGAATCACTTCGATCTCGGAGTGACCGTGGGAGGACTGGGCGGTCTGGTGCTCGATCTCCTTCACCTGTTGGATCAGATCGGCATCGGCATGGTGACATCGTCATGTACGACCCCCAGACCGATCTCGCAAGGGGAAACCCTATGCCACAGTCCATGAATCAGTTCAACCAACATGTTGCAAACGTCCACCTCGATCCTTCAATGACGATCAACCAGGACGTGACGAACTATCAGCAGGTCAACGCTACCCAGAACAATGCCCAATTCAACCAGTTCGTGAATCAGGACACCGGTCCCATGGTCGCCCAGATGGCGGAGGCAAGGCATGGTGAGATCATTGCCGGTCTCCAAAGCCAATCGGAGGCCATGAGACGCGAGATTCAGATGAATGCTGAGCAGCGTGTGAACACCATGAAGTCAGAAAGAGAAGCCGAGATGAAGTACCAAAACGCCATCAATACGATCAGCGAGCAGGAGAGACAGATCAGAGAGCTAAGGGCTATGGTCGAGCAGATGATGCAGAATCAACAGCAACCGCCTGCTCAAGCCCGCTCCTGCCCCTGCGCCTCCTGTTCAGCAGGCACCAGCTACCCCCTTGGCTATCCCGACAGTTCCTTTGGCTGCATCTCCACCCGGACTTTCGAATGCTTCCTCGCACAGTTGGACGAAAGTCGGGAGCGACCCCTACGGCAAAGACGGATCCGTTCCCGCCGGGGCCGTGGACGATGCTGCTACCGGAGACGGTTGGCCTTGCGATGATGGTGATGGTGGAAATGACAAGGACAAGAAAAAGAAGAAGAAGAAGAAAAAGAAGAAGGACCGTAGCCGACGCCGGCGACGAGATCCGTCATCTTCTCCCTCGTCATCTTCATCATCAACTTCAACTGCATCGGATGAATCCTTTCGACGAAAGCTACTGAAGCACTTAGGTAATTCGAGCGATCCGACAGCGGAACGCGTTCGTGTAAAGGAGGGTGACAGAATTCAGATTCCCCGATTCCCGAAGCCCGAACAGTACCGTAATTGGAGGATCAAAGTTAGGGATGCTGTTGTTGCTACTTCCGACCAACCCGAAAAGGCATTTGAGTGGATTGAGGCAACTTGGATCCCAGGTCAAACTGTTGAAGTCCTTCGTGATTCAGGAATGTTTGTCCATCTTGATGCAAAGCTGGCATCGGCGTTGACGAATATCTTGGAGGGCGACCTCGCGCGGCAAGTCGACATTTTCAAAGAACAAGAAGCAAAGGAGAAACGCTATGCGAGGGGGCGCCAAATTCTTTTGATGGTTCACAAGCACTTCAGCACGAACATCAAACATGGTGCAATTTACGACTTTGAGGACTTGCTCTCTGTCCAGCTCATCAACGAGGACCTCAAGAACTTCATGACGAGATGGGACACGGTCATCGCTGGAATGGGCAATGAGCAAAATGAGAAGACCCTTGAAGCGCTGTTCCACCGCCAGGTTCGAAAGTTTCGGCCCCTCAGTCATGATCTCAATGAGTATGAGCGAGCTGAGGAAGGGACGGAAAAGCACTCCTATAAATTCTTGATTGACGCATCGAGGAATTATTTGGAGCGCAAGAGGCTTGTTCACATGCGGGATGCTATGTCAAGCAACACAACGGGGCGTGGCAGGACTCCATCGAACAACCCTGCAGTTCCTGGAATCCCCAAGGGTGTATGTATCAAATTTCAAACTGGCCAGTGCACCTATGGTTCAGACTGCCGATTCGAACATGTTAAGGCACCGAAAGGTAAGGGGAAAGGCAAGAAGGGCGGGTCCAGACCCCAGACGCCAAGGAAGTATCGTTCGCAGAGCCCCCCTGGTTCGAAGCCCCAGGTGTGCAAGTTCTTCAAAGCGAACAGATGTGAGAGAGGGAAAGATTGCCCATGGCAGCACCCCGCAACTTCCAAGGCAGCTCCAGCCCCAAAGGCCGAGAAGACCGCTAGTGGAGACACCCCCAAGACATCGCCGAGAGAGAAAAAGAAGAAGAAGAAGGGTAGCAGGCCTTCTTCTCAAGATTCGAAAGACTCGAAGGGTTCTCAGTCCCTCAAGTCTCCGCGATCGTCAAAAGGCAGCAATGCTGCGGTGTGCCTCCTCCAGGCAATGGTGTGCGCCGCGACCCTCGACTCGGTCGCCTCGCATCCTTGCTTGCCTAGTGTGACTCACAATGTTTTCCAGAGTATGCCATGTATCAAGAAGTGCGTGCAATTTTCTGATTATCCATCCATTTCGAACTATGAGACTGACGGCGAGCTTTGGCCCTACACTGCCTCGTCGAGAAGGTTTGCACACGAGTTTCCTGTTGATTATGTTCCGAAGTTCGATGAGAGAGCCGTCTCTGACGCAACTCTTATCGGCGCCATGCATGAAGCTATGATGAAGGATTTGCTCAAAGGCACGAAGACTCCTTGCAAATTTCAATGCGACTCCGACTTCGGCTGTGATTCCTGCATCCCCGCAGGCCTAACGGCCGAGCCAGAGAAGCCCGTGACCTCCCCCAAAAGGGGGAAAGCTGCTGTTGCTCGTATGACAATGGATTCTTCTCACATTCCGTGGATCGCAGATACAGGAGCTTCTCAGGACTTGCTATCGGGAACCGATGCGGAGATGGGGTGTATTTACGAATCGTCTCAACCTCTGAAATTTTCCACAGCCAATGGGAATATTATCGGTACCAAGCAGGCCAGGGTCAAGATCCAACAGACCGATAGTGTTGTTCGGCCATATGTTCTTGACAAGGCTCCATCTGTGTTATCCGTGGGTATGAGATGCCTCAGGGACGGATATGATTTCGTTTGGAGAGCCCACAGCAGACCTTATTTCCGACTTCCGGATGGTTCACGTATCAAGCTCGAGGTCAAAGACAATGTTCCATTCATTCCCCCAGCAACTCAAAATGCTGTTCCAGCTTTGTCACAGAGCATTCCAAAGGTTACATCATTACCATCAGCTCCCATTGAAATTGATGATGAAGTTCTGGTCATTGACGAGGAACCGGAAGCTGTTGAAGAGATGCTTGTGACCAATGAGGATGATGGGGATGAATTGGGGAACGACGATTTCTTGCTTGAGGACACTATTAGACAACCGGAAGGTGAGGTCATTGAAGAGTGCCATGACATTCCCTCCGAAGAAGCGCCCAAGGTCATCGCCTCCGATTTTGTGTCAAAGCCTATTTTGAAGGACGCCCCTCGCGAACGCGGTGAAGCAGCTTTGCGTGATGAGGCGACCTCACTCCAGCA